TTCAAATTTAAAGTAAAAACTGGAAATTATTTTAGTTTTAGCAATGAAAGGGATAGTTCACCCAAAAAGGAAAATACTGTCATTACTTCCAAAGCTGACTTTTTTTTTCTTCTGTTAAATACAAAAGCAGATATTTTGAAGAAAGCTGGAAGTGTGAGGTGCTATCCCCTTTACTTTTATGGCATTTGTTTTTCATACCATGGAAAAACTATGGTTATAAGTTTTCAGCTTTCTTCAAAATATTTTGGTTTGTATTCCAAAGAAAAAAGAAAATCTTAAAGGCTTAAAACCACTTGAGGGTTAGTAAATAGTGATTAATTGTTTTTATGCGAACCAATCACTTTATGCATCAAGTGGAGCATAAAACCAGGTCAAAAAGGAAATGAAGATTTATAAATTATCTGAATAAATCAGTTTTCATAGATGTATGCTTTGTTATGATTGGACAATATGTCGTGATGCTACCTTTTAAAATTCCTTAATGTTTTTGCAATGCATATTACTAATAAAACAAAACGTTATGACTAGGAAATTTACAAAATGCCTTTATGGAACATGATCGTTGCTCCAATGTCACATTTCACAATCAAAATTACCATGATGAAAAAAAAATCTATATTCAGTACATCCGGACAGTATTCATAGTGCTTCACTTTTTCCACATTTTTTTATGTTACTGCCTTATTTCAAAATGGATTAATTTATTTAATCAAAATTCTACACACAATATCCCATAATGACAACGTAAAAAAAAAAAAAAAAAAAAGAGTTTTTGAAATTGTTGAAAATTTATTAAAAATAAAAAACCTGAAAAATCACATGTACATCATTATTCACAGCCTTCGCTTAAAACACGTTACCTGAGAACAAGTAATAGATTCGAAAGACCAAAGTCGGGGAATATGTCATTAAATATAGACAACAAGATGAATTATATATTACGTTTAACAAATATAGTGAGATTAGATCCAACGGGAGATCCTTGATGAACAGTCCGACGTGCACAGCTCTCATATGGTTAAAGCACGTTGCAGCTCAGAGTGTGTGTGTCTGTATGCGTGTGTGGTCACGTGATGTGCGTTTTTTCCGTTTCAATGTAGACGGAGAACTGTTCAGAAATGCTGGGTGAAACGCTAGTGTGGGCGCGGATCGTTTTCATTCCAAAACGCCGTTTTAAAACTAAAACGCACATATGTGAATGGGGCCTGAGAGTTCTTCGGATGCCATTTGGCAAATTCCAGGCAGGGAGTGGCTTCCGTCTGGCCACTCTACTATACAGGCCTGATTGGTGGATTGCTTCACAGATGGTTATCCTTCTGTAAGGTTCTCCTCTCTCCACAGAAGAACACTGGAGTTCTGACAGAGTGACCATCAGGTTATTGATCACCTCCCTGACTAAGGCCCTTCTCCCTCAATCACTCAGCTTAGATGGCCAGCTCTAGGAAGAGTACTGGTGGTTCCAAACACCATCCACTTACAGATGATGGAGGGCACTGTGCTCATTGAAACTTTCAGAGCATCAGAAATTTTCTGTAACCTTGCCCAGCTTTGTGCCTTGAAACAATCCTGTCTCCGAGGTCTACAGACAATTCCTTTATCTTTATGCTTGGTTTGTGCTGACATGCATTGTTAACCCTGGGACGTAATATAGACAGGTGTATGCCTTTTCAAATCATGTGAGTTCATGTAATCAACTGAATTTACCACAAGTAAACTCCAATAAAGCTGCAGAAACATTTTGAGAATGATCAGTGGAAACAGAATATACCCAAGCTCAATTTAGAGCTTCATGGCAAAGGCTGTGAATACTGATGATGTACTGTACATGTGATTTTTCAGGCTTTTTATTTTTAATAAATTTGCAACAATTTCAAAAAATCTTTTGTTCACATTGTCATTATGGGGTATTTTAAGTAGAATTTTGAGGAAATAATTTAATTTAATCTATTTAGTAATAAGGCTGTAACATAAAAACATAAAAAAATGTGGAAAAAGTGAAGCGAAATGAATACTTTCCGAACACACTTTACAATTTAGTATTTTAAATGTTTTTATTCTGAATTGAAACAAGCACAACATCTGCCATAAGAAAAATACTTGAAATACTTCATCAAAACATGTCTTTTTATCCTTTTTCCAAATGCAACCGTTTTTTTATGACAATGCAAATCTTAATACTCCTAAATGTACTTGTGTAAAAGACATGTAGAAAGACTTAATTTATTTTTGAAATTCTACAATCACATAATTATTGAATAAGCGTGACAGCTTTTCATTGTGTGTGTGGACTTTGAATGTGAACAGGATTTACTTACCAATATCAATGTTCTCCCTTCCTAAGGCAACAAGTGACAGAAACATAATTTCCCTGTAGACACTCCTGGACATAAAAACAAGAGGAGCACAAGATATAGTTACACAAGGGATAGTTTTAGCATGTTCATTAACTGTTCAGCTATGTTTAAACAGATCCAAGTTAAAACAAACACTGTGCCCCCATACAGTTGAACAAGTACAAAATCATTGCCATAAAGGGCCTGATGTAAAGAATTGATGTATTTAAAAACAGCAAATATTTGATTGTATTGGCTTATTTGTCATCTTCAACTAAGCACAGTTGACCCTCTGTGTAAAGAAATAGGTACATGATTCAGAAACTAAAACAGTAAACTGCTGGCCCTCTGTCACAAAACAAACCTTAAACCACTGTTGGAATGGACGGGTATGGAGCTCACTGATAGCAAATAGCTGTTCCTTGGCATAGAAATTGATATTTTGTATGGCATAATTACTACAATTATGTCCAACAAACAAACAAACAAATTGGTTTATGCTATCAGTTTAACTGCTTTACAGACTAACATTAGAAGCCTTACCAGCAATGTGTGAGAAGTTGTTTTTTTTACAAGCGTATTCTAACAAGCGCAGCATTTTGAATTCAACAATTTCCCACTGAATAAACTTTTATGAAAAAACACTGGGCAAAGAAATGTACAAATGAGTGAAGAGAGCATGCATTGCAAAAATTCAGTTTAGTAAAATGCAGATGCTTCCAACTCTATCGACTGAAAGTTTTATGACTTTTTATTACACTAGGGATATAAGAAGGGTTTAAAATGAACTTTTTGCACTAGCAGCATTTATAACCAGGTTAGGTTAGGTGGATTAGGGGGACTGCACAGAAGGACTTAACGATAATAACAAAAATAAAGAAAAAAGAGCTTAAAGTGCTTAATAAAACTGGTAAACTGAGACTGAGATAAACTCTCTTGAATGATTATGCTATGCAATTACATTGTTGCCAAATTGAGTTACTGACATATTCTTATTAAATGACATTATTTACATTATGGGATGTTTTTTTTATAAGTTGTTTACATTTTAAGACCTTTTATTAAAAAAAAAATATTACACATATACCGTTTGCTATGGAATGCAAAAACTTTGAAGCTCAATATCTCAAAATGTTTCAGAATGCAGATAGAACCTTATAAACCCAAGGTGACGATATGATATTGCAATAATTTGAATACATGTTTTATAAGCTGAAAATGAAAGCCTCAATTTGGTGTGGCATTATCATTATACAAAAATCATGAAAATATTTGGATTTGTTTGATTGGTTGATTATGTAGGCCAGTGGTTCTCAAACTTTTTTCACCAAGTACTACCTCAGAAATAACATTGTCTCTCCAAGTACCACCATAATGACCAGTATTGAAATACAGTAGCGTAGTAGGCCTAATGAAGCAGCTACAGCTGTGCACAGTTCAAAAACAAGGAAGATTAATTCCTATTATTAAGAATATGTATTATTGTTCGCCACTTTAAACATTATAAAAAGTCTGAACATTAACTGTGTTTGCAGGTAAAAACAAACAAGTAAGAAAATCAAGGACTTTTAAGCACATTTTCCAGCACCTATGTTTTTTTAAGACTGACACGTATTGAACATACTAAAGATGTGAAATGTATTCTCAGCAACCCATAAAACATTGCATAGGAATTTATACAAATAAAAACCATTAATAATAATATTAATAATAAATCAATTATTACACTGCTTAAATAATAAACATTTTAGTAAATAATACTAATATTAGGTAAAAGTACAAAGTACTCTTTTAAAAAGTACTAGTGAAAAAAAAAATCAGGTTTTCATTATGAAATCACTTTAAGTGTAAACTTCATTAAATGGTTTAATTGCTTAAATGACAGAGCAACATATATAGGTATTTGCACTAACAAAGGAAGTATGGTTGATTAGTCCTTTCATGAAAATTAACCTTTTAATAGCACAGCCAAAACTACCACTTAACTGTATAAGGCCATAGAGACACTTTTTGTCATTTTTTTTTTTAAACAATATGTTCAAGCTCTGAAAGGTTTAATTAAGTATATGATAAAGATATTTAAATTTAGGCTTTTATTTACATAGTTTGTTTCCTAAATGGCTGTACATCACATGGAGATTTTATTTTACACTTGATCTTAAACTAAAATAATTTTACAAAAAAATAAAAAAGACAAGTACACTGTCAGTAATAAAATAATAAAACAAATGACTTCGTTTTACTTGAGGTATTTGAAATATGACAACAATACTTTTATCAAAGCAGTGTTTTAAGAGCCTTATTGTTTATTTTGATAAATAATCAATAAGTAACAACAGATTGCTTTGTAATGCCTGTACAATTTAGTGATGCTTTAAGACAGATCAGAATACATCTATTATGTATAAATCACACAAATAGGCTACCTTAACAGAAACATTTCTAGTATAATTCTTTTGTCGTAAAGAAATAAAAAAGTTCCACCTTTGCTAAAAGTAAGTTTCACTTCACTATACAGCCAAATAAGAAGTCCATTAGTAATAGTATTGTCATTGGTCATGCATCGATCTAATTCTAAATACTGAACAGTTTTTGACTAAATTTAGTCGAGGAGCAAAGATAAATAATGTCTACTTTAATAGCTAAGAGATAGCAATTGTATATAGTCTAAGCACACATATGCGATGATGAGAAGACTTGCAGGTCATTTGAAAAAGCTTGTGTAAGAGCTCACATAACTGTTCTTGCGATTAACGTGACTGCGCTCTCATGTTAAAATAAAGCAGTTGCAACATTTACAGAAATGAACTGTGCAATATCTGCATTCCTGCACCGCCAGTCAGACTGTATTTAGAAGAGTGGCAGGTCAGAGGTGAGAAAATTCACAGAGAGAAGAGGGTGAAACGTTTATGTTGACAAGAAAAAAAAAAAGAATCGCTGACCCGTATTGTGCGCATGTCGTGTTGCTGTCGATGTTATAATTGTTTATTTTTTTTAAATATTGTGACATTCAAGATCTGTAAATTAATACAGCTCTAGATAACTTCAAACAGCGTCCACAAGTCTCTCCTCCATCATTAAAAATTCACCGTAGTCGCCTTAACAACAGAAAGCCTGCAGTTCTTTCATTTGATTGAAGAATGAAAAAGACGCGACTGAGGTAACATGCTTTTTCGGCTCGAGCGGACAGCGCAACGGCAAAACGTGAGAGGTGTTGGCTTTTTTGGGGTTAATTATTGTAATCTTCCTATTGCAACAGTGAAATACAGGGAACTGTCTCTAGATAATCTTAAAATGCAAAAAACATCAGCTATTTTTGTCATGGCGTTAGGCATTACGCTAGAGAATCATTTAAATACTAGCTCTAAAGTGACATTGGTAAAGTAGCAGCGGTTTCTGCTGTTCTGTCATCTGCAGATGTGAATGAATGGTGGAAGAAAGTAGTTTCTCTTACAAAAGGATTTTCGAGACTCTTTGTTTAATTTTCTTTTTTAAATACACGATTATGTCGTTGAACTGTTACATAAATGGAATATCAATGCAGATCAAGTAATTCAACTCAGGAATACTTTAAGGATTTAAGACTGCACTAATCATGTATAGAAAACTAGTATACATGACCAACCTCTGGCGTTTAACTTCTGGATGTTTCTTGATCTCCCGGATGAGCATATTGATGGGGCCGTAAACATCGTTCATCTGAATGCTGCGTACAATGCTGTTTAGCAAAGACCGAGTCTCCTGGTGGTCAGTTGGGGCTAGAGTTCCCTTCCTTTGCACTGTATGACAAAATATAATAATGTTCATACATGTCACATGCCGTACACGAAGTATGATTTTTGTTTGGTGTTCCTAAAACCGGTCTCATTAAACATTAACATGCTGATGCATACACTGAACAAATAATTCTCAAAAGTTACTCACAGAAGGTCCTCCAGAGCTGATAGAGGGGCTCGGTGGGCTCCTGATGTAAGTTGACATTATCCCACAACAGCTGCACGTACACCTGCTTACTGTCCTGAGACAAAGATGTCTGCGGCAGCTTTGGGAGCAACACAAAGAACTGTGCATTATTATGTTGGTTCATATCAACATACATTTAACAAGAATTACTGGGCTGAAACGCACATAATGGCTCAACAAACATCTGCTATATTTTTATACTGATCTAAATGAGAAAAACCTGAGGCTCCATAATGAGCACTCATTAAGAGTATAGCAGTGTGAATGAAGGTCAAGTACCTTTACTCCATTGTTGCAGTGTTCAGAAGTGAGAATGAGTCCAGGCAGAATGCTGGGCAGGTCTAAACGACGAAAATACCACACCAGGTTCCAGAAAATGATGGGGTGCTGACTAAGAAACTTATGTGTATAGATTACCTAAGAGAAAATGCAAATAAACAAATCAAGACAACAATGTCCTGTGGGCATTAAAACACTTTACATAACTAGGGTTAAGCATTGTGAGGTTGCTACAATCTGGGGCTCAGATTAAAATTGGAAAAGCCAAAAATTATTTTACAGCTCTCAGGGACATTTGATTCCGATTCAATCATGCCACAATTTTGGTCAATCTTGACATTTCAAGGAATGTTAATCTCCCATATACAGTATATACACATGCATACGCGCATATATAAATTCGTGTTGGCTGCTTATGAGCATATTTAAATTGATTCTGCAGGAACAACCGGCGAGATGTACATTATCCTTTATGTAAAATAGACCTAGTGTTTAATGAACCATCAAAATTTAAAGTTATGCTTGAATACCTGATCCCCTTCATTTTCTAAAAGCGACTCCAATTCTTTGCGCAGAACCAGTGGACTGAGATACGGCACAGAAACTGGTTTTGGGTTGGGTCGCTTTTGACCCAACGTGTCCTGAAACAATAAAAAGCAGAATTAAATCACATCATTCTTGATCCATTAAAATTGTAAAAAGGCAAGGTGGTCCCTTACCGACACTTCTTGTAAGCTGTTGGGCAGGCTAATAGTGGATATGCCATGATTGGGTCTTTGAATCAAGTCCAAATTCTGCAGTGGTCCTCCCATACTGTTGCTCCGTGTTAATGTGTTCCGTTTCTCAGCTTGTCTCTCCATGAGACCAAGGGGGTCTGAATGTACAGGCTCAGGTACAAGGCTACAGGGCAAATTCAGAACTCATTATGCGATCTAAGATTTATAAAAAAAAAACAAACAAAAAAAACACACATTTACAGTATATTACCCTACACCCATTATTGCCAAACTCTGCATTTCTCTGTTGTGCTAAACTTTCAAAAAGTTTCAAGAAATTGAAGCCCCACCATCTACAGCTTGACTTATATCCAACTAGGTCTGTTAACATCTATTAATTTTCATTTCACACATCACAATCAATTCAATTGAAATTTAGATTTAGAAAGTTTTGAGCTATAATTTGCAGAAGGTAATTATTTTCAGTTGATCAGATAATTTCCAGTCTACACCATCTTTATTCACATAGAGTGGATTAAATATATCTACAGAGACGAGTTCAGCAAAAACCCTTATCTTGTGGTTGAGATGAGTGCTTAGCAAAAACCCTTATCTTGTGGTTGAAAAATCATCAATCAATTTATGATATTTACACAAAAACCAACAAAAAAAAATGAGTTACCCTTCCTGTAATATTTTAAAACTGTGTTTACATACATCTTTGGGGTTCCAGTTTGAGCAACAGGCATCTCAACAGGACTCTTGCTGTCCTCAGAAGATTCTGCGAAAGTCATGAGGTCTGAAGGGTCACTAGGAGAGCTCACTTTCACTTCTGATGAGCTAGAAGTGGTTGGTTGTGTGGTGGAGCTGTGGATACTGTCTCCTGATGTACTCGTCTTCAAGTAGAAGCTGTAAACAAAAATGCCTATTAAATGTCATTGTAAAAATCTAAATTGATCACATAAATTACAGTGGAATGTATGTTTAATAAAACAGTGAACATACAATGAGACATGATCTGATTGCTTAAATATACTGATGTGAACTGTAAGCAAAACCTAATTTGGATGGACAGAAGAAAGAAAAGCACATTTTGCTCACTGACCATTATCAAAAGATAAATTCTGATAATATCTTTTTAGAATGTGTAAAAAATATGAACATTTTTTAACAAACCTTTATTAAAACATTGAAATACATATTTCATTCCAAGATAAAAGTTAAAATGAGATATCACAAAAATAGCTTAAATATTCGAGAAAAAAAAATCAGTTGTTTCAACATTTGAATTATCCCATCTAAGAAAGTGGTCAAGAGCTATAGAATGAGAGTAACGTTAAGGGAGAACAATAAGAACCATCTCAAAAAATAGGATGGCTTAAGTACAAAACACTCAAATACAGATCACAGCTGGAGCAATTTCATATAACAGAAGATGAACTTTAATGTCTTAAAAAGTTTACAACAATGATGCATGAATGTCCTTAATCATCCCAGCAAGCACAGGACTTAAACATGACGTCAGATTGACGTTGTACCCATAGGTCATGAGACGTCAGAACCAAACGTCAGGCAGATGTCATCGTAATAAATGTCAGTTCTTAATGTCAATATGATGCTGGTTTTAAGATGTTGGATTTTGTTTACTTTCCAAGACAACCTAAAATCCACCAAATATCACCATCATTTGATGTTGTTATTGGACATCAAAATAATATTGTTCTCAGATGCTGACGACCTAAATCTAACCTAATATTAACATCTCATGACCATGTGTGTCTGCTGGGATCTGTCAGCAAACCATATAGGAAGTCAGCAGAACATCTTTGTAGACTTTGTACTGAGATTTACTTATTATATTGATGACTCATTTAAAGATCTTCTTCAATTTCCTAGTTGTGTATGCATATTGTTAGGTTGCAATGTTGTAATAAAAATGTAATGCAATAAAATCTATTTTCCTAAGTAACTCACCCTGGAGTAGCACGCAGGTCCTGGAACTCAACATGGAGCAAAGGAAGGAAAGTGACTTGACAGAAGGGACAGGTGCAGTTTAGATTGGAGTCATCTGCTGTCCAGCCCGCCATGATCTCCTCATCATACACTAGTGCCTCACAAGAGCGACACTGAGAGCAGCTGGACATGAGAACCTGCCAAAAACAAGCCACATATAGTTGTACGTCTTTCTAATAAAGTGAAGCATCAATTAGAGCTGCGGCTCTCACCTCTAAAGCACAGTTTTGGTAAATGCTGGAGGTGCTGGCATGATGAGAGGAACTATGTTCAGACCTCTCGGAGTCTGCTCCTCTCATTGAGCGACCTGGAGTCAAAGCTGTAAAGAACAAATGGAGAGCATGTTAAACATCTCATATCTTTAACCTGTGTGTTGTCCTAGAATTCTGTATGCACAGGTTTGAATCACAAAATACACCCACATTTAATAAATCTCCAAAATAAAGCAGCTAAATTTCATTTAAATCTTTAACCTCATCTTCAGCACAAACTTGGTGAAAATGAGTCTAGGTTTTCCCTCATCAGTGTGCAGTTTTTCATCAATGTTTAATCAGTGGGTTAAAGGGTATCATTTCTAATGCTAGGCACCTGCATAAGTTTAATATGCTTTTAGCAAGACAGTATTCGTAAATGTTTAAGCAACAGATTCGTTTTGTGTGTGTGTGTGTGTTTTGGGCGGTAAAAAATTGACCCGAAGGACAACTGTTGTACCCAAAATGTGTACAGCTTTTATGAGAATATGAAAATAAAAAATGATTATTTTTTTTTCTAATGTTAGGGTCATTTAAAAAAATCAGCTAACTTCAAGATAAATAATCAACAACTTGTTTGTTTATTTATTTATTTTTTATTAATTATTATCAACATTGGTTTTCTTTTCTGCTGTTAAAACAATACATGGGTTAAAGTTAAAAAATAAAACAACTGATGGTATCAGTTTTCCCAGAGATGGGTTGCGGCCGGAAGGGATAGGGTTAGGGTATTTTACGCTGCGTAAAAATGTGCTGGATAAGTTGGCGGTTCATCCCGCTGTGGCGACCCCAGCTTAATAAAGAGACTAAGCCAACAAGAAAATGAATGAATGAATGATATCAGTGTGGTTTATGAATTTATGTTGAATGTGTGTGTGTGTGTGTGTGTGTGTGTGAGTCTTACGAGTTGACAGGTGTGCCTGGCCGGTATCGCTGCTTCCACTGCTGCTACCCAGGCTGGTATTGCTGTGTGCGAGCCCGTTTGAGCCCAGACTAGGCATCAGTCCTCTGGGTAAAGTGTTCTCCGTATCTCCCTCTCCAGATAGCAACTGTTCTTCTAGCCTAGCTGGGAAACTGTACTGGGGCTTTAAGTTATCCTCCTAAATCAGAGACATCCAAAATATAGTCAAGACTCATCATACAGTTGAAGTCAAAATCATATAACCTCCAGTGCAGCTCTCCAAGTGTTACTCATTTTTAAACATAATAGTTTTACTACCCAATTTCTAAAAATAAAAACATTTCTTTTGTCTTTGTTAACTGTAATGTAATGTAATGTATTTTTTTATTTAGTGCCATGTCAGCAACCAAGGCTATTTTCATGGCAGGAATCTTTCAACAATAAATATACAATTTAAAAATCAACAAACAAAATAAAACATAAATTAAATAAGATTTTTTGTGTTAATACATGATAAAAATTCTAAAATCTTTTCTGGTTCCACTTTGTCAAAAATGTCCTTAAAAGAGTTCATTTCATAAAAAGTCCTTCTGGAATCAGTAAAAGCAGTACAGTCCAGTAAAATATGTTTTACAGTAATAGGAGTTTTGCAGCACAAACACTGAGTGGGGTTTTCACCTTGGAGCAAAAAACCATGTGTAATTCTCGTATGCCCAATACGGCATCTGGTAAAAACTACTTGATCAAATCGATTCTTAAAATGTCTTAAAATTCTGTGTGAAACTTCAGGTTGGATTTCATGTAGTTTATTGTTTTCTAATGCATCCCATTCCTTTTGCCACTTGTTTAAAATGTAAGCGTTGATAAAAGGTTTCATCTCTGAAGGAGGAATTTGGCATTTGTTCACTACTTGTTTCAAAGCATCTTTAGCAGCTGCATCAGCTCGCTCATTGCCTAAAAGCCCGACATGTCCAGGAACCCAGCAAAAAATGATGTGATAAAACTGATTTTGTAGTTGGTGAACTTTAGTTAAAATATTTTCAATCAAAGGATGATCATTCGTTGAAGATTCCATAACTTGGAGGCATGATTTAGAGTCTGTGAAAATGATGGATTTCTTTTGTTTTGCATTTTCTATGTACTCCAATGCTAAAAGTAAAGCGCGGGCTTCAGCTGTGAATATAGAGCATTCTTTAGGTAGACTGATTCCATGACTTTGTTCCCCTGTCACCATTGCTGCTGCTACATTACTTTCCATCTTTGAACCATCTGTGAAGATTGGTATGTGCTGAGAGTATTGAGTTCTGATATCCAGGTATTGTTGTTTGTACATATTGGGATGAGTAACTCCTTTCTTCTGGTGTCCTAGCTCCATATTGATTATAGGCATCTTTAAATTCCAGGGAGGCAATGAGTTGAAGTGTATTTGTTTTAAAATGTCCAGGTTTAAATTTAGATTTTGTAAGTGTGAATTGATACGTAAACCAAATGGTCTGATGGTTTTTGGCTTACTTTCGTATAATTGTACAAACTGAGGTTCGAAAACTGCAGTATAGGCTGGGTTATTCTTATTTGCCTTTAGTTTGATAGCATATTGTAATGAAAGTTTCAGCCGTCTATTTTGAAGTGAGGGTTCGTTAGCTTCAATGTACAGACTCTGAACGGGTGATGTTCTGAATGCTCCTAAAGCAAGCCGTAATCCTTGATGGTGGACTGTATTGAGGATTTGTTTATAAGATTTCCTGGCAGAGTCATAAATTATGCTTCCATAATCCAAACGAGATCGAATGAGTACTCTGTACAATCGTAAAAGTACAGTTAAGTCAGCACCCCAATTTGTTTTTGCCAACACTTTGATTATGTTCATAGCTTTGAGGCACTTGTTTTTCAAAAATTTTAAATGAGGGATAAAAGTCATTTTGTTATCAAAAAGGAGACCTAAAAACTTGATTTCTTTAACAACTTTGATCATATTTCCATTGATAAAAAGTTCTGGATCATGATGAAGTGATCGCTGGATACAAAAATGTGTACAAACAGTTTTTGTTTTAGAGAACTTAAAACCATTTTCGACAGCCCACTGGTTAATTTTGTGAATATTTAACTGCAATTGCCTTTCAATTGTATTCATGTTCTTCCCTCTGTAACAGATACATAAATCATCCACGTAGATGCTGCAGAACATATTTGGAGCAATGATTTCCACAATGCTATTTATTTTAATACTAAAGAGTGTGACCGAGAGTATACTTCCTTGAGGAACTCCGAGTTCTTGTTGGTGGGTATTTGAAAGGGAATTTCCCACTTGGACTCTGAAGTTTCTTCTAGTGAGAAAGTTTGAAATGAAGGTAGGAAGTTTTCCTCTAAATCCCATTTGGTGAAGATCTTTTAAAATTCCATATCTCCATGTTGTGTCATAAGCTTTTTCTAAATCAAAGAAAACAGCAACAACATGTTCTTTTCTGATGAATCCATCTCTGATATAAGTTTCTAGTCGGATTAACTGATCCAATGTACTCTTTCCACGTCTAAATCCACACTGGTAGTCAGTTAGTTGTTTGTTTTTTTCCAGTGTCCAGACAAGACGGTTGTTAATCATTCTTTCCATCGTTTTACATAAACAACTGGTCAGAGCAATTGGTCTGTAGTTATTTGGATCAGTGTGGTCTTTTCCTGGTTTAGGTATAGCTATTACTGTTGCTTCTTTCCACGAAGCTGGAATTTTTCCCGAAGACCAGATGTTGTTGAACTCGTCCAGTAGGAGGCATAGTGAACTATATGGTAAGTGTTTTAAAAACTGGTAATGGATTTTATCTGGTCCAATGGCTGTATCATGTGAGCATTTTAAAGAATTTATTAATTCTTTAATTTTAAAAGGTTGATTATATACTTCTTTGTTGTCAGAATAAAAATTTAGTTCTTTGCATTCCTGCTGTGCTCGTATGATTTGAAATGCTGGGAGGCAGTTCTCTATTGATGAATTCTTTTCGAAGGCTTCAGCTAATGTATTTGCTATGTCCATTTCCTTTGTTTGAAGTATTCCTTGTTTTATAATATGTTGTATGCGAGTTCCATTTTCCTTTCCCTTCATTTTACGGATCATGTTCCAAATTTTCTTCATGGGAGTATAGTAAGTTAAGCTGGATACAAATTGTTTCCAGCTTTGTTTCTTTGCTTCATTTAGGGTTCTGCGAGCTTGGGCTCTACAAATTTTAAAATGGATAAAATTTGTAGTTGTTGGATGTTTATTAAAAGCACGTTCTGCTTTTTTCCGAGTTTCAATAGCTTTTTTACATTGTTCATTAAACCAGGGATTTGTCTTTCGTTGTGGTTTTGTTGATGTCTTTGGGATGGTTTCATCTGCTATAGCGATTAACTGCTGAGTGAAGTCTTCTATTGAGTTCTGGTTATCTTGGGTAGCTGAAATTAATTTTTCACAACACATGTTTTGAAAGGTGGTCCAGTCTGCTTTCTTGAGTTGCCATCTTGAAGGTCTACTTGTTACATCCAGTTGTGGAAATGTGAGGATAATTGGGAAGTGGTCACTCCCGCATAGATCATTCCATACTCTCCATGAACAGTCAAGTAAAAGATCAGCACTACATATTGTCAGATCGATTTCTGTATAAGTACCATGTCCTGGATGAAGATATGTTTTGGTTCCATCATTTAAAAGACATAAATCATTATTTTCTATAAAAGTTTCCATTCTTCTTCTTTGTTAACTAGACAAGTTAAGATAATTAGGCAAGTTATTGGATAACAGTTGTTTGTTCTGTAGACAATTATATTTATTTATTTATTTATTAATTAATTAATTATTATTTTAATAGGCTAATAATATTGACATTCAAATTGATAAAAAAACTGATTTTATTACAGCCAAATGAAAAGAAACAAGACATTTCTCAGAATAAAATACTGTGAAAATGTCCTTGGTCTTCTAAACATCACTTGGGAAATATAAAAATAAAAAAGAATAAAAATGTCACATGGGGCTAACAATTTTGACTAAAACTGTTTGTCCATCATTTACAATGTGTAACCTCAGAATGCATTTTACAGAGATTACTCTACTAAATTGTACTACATTGACATGCAAAGAAAACTGAGAAACAACTAATTATTTTAGCCCGAAAGAGCAAAAATCTGCATATTTTGCTAATCGCTTTGCTAAATGTACCTAATGTTATGTTTAACCTTTGACATTAAAAAAGTACAAAAATAAAAAATAATAAAATAATTTCATAAAAGTGTGCTAGTTCATACTGCTTTCTAAAGGCTTGTCATAAAATCTCAAGATTACTTTTTGGCTATGCATTAAAACAAAAAAGTTTTTTAATTATTATTTAAAAGGTTTATTCAGCTAATATCTGTTTTAAAAGGATTCTTGACATCTAAATGTTCAAAAGGTTCTTCAGTTTAAAAACATCCTTTGAGGTGAATCCAAGCTGCCAAAATTTTTTTTCCACTTCCTGTTTTTTTATACAGTATATTGCAGTATAGCTGAATGCATCATTTCAAAGCTAGCTTTACAAACACAGATCAATGTCGTCTTTATAACTACCTTTCTGGCTGCCCACCCACGCAAAGAGAACTGATTTAACAGAATCACTGAACTAAAATGTCCTTCTTATGCATGCTTACACACAAAACTTGATAAATTAATTTATTTTATATATGTGATTAGAATTGAAGGTGAGCTCCAATTCTAACAATGAACAATGATTTTGTTCTAACAATACAATTCACACTTAGCAGACAACCTTCTAAACAGGTTTTACAACATTTTGTCAACAACTGACAGCATGGAGAAAACAGTATGCAGTTATAGGCCCTAAAAGTGTGAGATTCTGGGGCAAAAATGTCCTGTGTGAGTTTTTGTCATGTATCTGGGTTAAATTATAGTTCAATATCTCATGAGTGCTGTTTTGTCTTGAATAGAAGAAAAGTGAATGTGATAATCTAGAAACAGTTAAGAAGTTAACAGTGCTGTTATATTTTAGAGACAAATTTGTCTGTTTTTGCCAATGAAAATACTACAGCCACAGTAAAATTGAAAGCAGAATGCTATATTTTGTTTCATTTCTGTTGTAAATTTACTTTCCTTTTTCCTTTTTTATTTTTGAAGCCTTTTTTTAAATGTCTATTTGATGTTTTGTGTATTTAAAAGAATAATAGCTTAATTTTACACTTTTACACAGAACTCAAAAATGTTATGTTATTGATTAGAGTAGAAGAAGAGCAAACAATGCTACAACTATAAATCACTGGAACTGTCAGTCAGTCAGAGTTTAGCAAAGATAAAATGTAAGATTTTCACCAAATCTCCAGCTATAATCAATGCTAAAAAATAAAATCAGATGCACTTAATGGAAGCACGGACATTAGCTATGTTTCCATCCAGCTTTTTTTAGGCGCATTTTGCTTATGCGCATAAAAAAACTGTAGATGAAAACGTCATGATGCACATAAATTTTGAAAATGCGCATAAAAAACTTGTGCGTATAACTGAGTAGGATAAACTTTTTATCCGATAAGAAAAGATGTGTATAAACTACGATGGAAACACTTTTACAGAACAAATTTCAGTATGCACATTAAAAAGGTCATGTGATTTTGAGATAAGAGATCATGATGAAAATGTGTGCGAATGGATAAACCAGCAGACTGAGCACACTGTAAACCAGGGGTCACTAATTCTGGTCCTGGAGGGCCGGTGTCCCTGCAGGGTTTAGCTCCAACTTGCCTCAACACACCAGCCTGGATGTTTCAAGTATGCCAAGTAAGAGCTTGATTAGCTTGTTCAGGTGTGTTTGATTAGGGTTGAAACAAAAATCTGCAGGACACCGGCCCTCCAGGAACAAGTTTGGTGACTACTGCTGTAAACCATCTGAAATGTATGCCTTACCATTTCAGTATTAGTGTTATTATATTATTAATGACCTCCAGAAAAAAAAAAAATAGCGTCTGTGCTCCGCGTCTGACAACTTCAAACGCCACCGCACTTTCACTGCATGTCAGGATTGCCTTCTGAGGCGCAAGTGATTTATTAGATGAAGAAAGGTTGACACAGCTTCTCCTACAACAGCAAATTCAGTTTTTACTGTTGATATTTGGCGCCAGTTAATCAGGAAGTGATGATTTTGTTCGCTTTGACTCGTTGGATAGAAATGCTGCCTTATTCGCACGTCTTTCATGTGATAATCCAGTTTTGCGCAAAAAGTTCATTCTTTTTTTATTCTTTTGTTCTTTTTTTGGATGGAAACATAGATAGTGAGTGAAAACTCATTAGTTTTCAAATAAAACTATCATGCCTCAAATAAAGTGGGTGAATGTACAAATGTAGTAAATCACAGTATAAAATGCACTTTTATAAAAGTAAAACCTTTCATGGGTTTCTTGACACATTTCTTTTGTTTGCTCTCACCTCATCATCTGAGTAGGAGTAGGCTGAAGCCACTGCATCCCACATCTTACTGGCCACATTGGCTGCCTGCTTCATGCCTGATTTAAGCATATCTACTTTGGGGCCCACCAGAAGAGAGTCCATCTTGATGCCTGAGATGGAGTTGATGACAGAGCCTAGTGAGCTGTTCTGTGACGATTTTACCAGTGCAGTCAGCGATGACGACCTCTGGCCTGCAGAGCCAGGGGTCTTGGGGGATTTGACAGCAAATGTCTTTGAGCGAGTGACAGCAGGACTAGGTTTTGGATGCTCCGTTGAACTGGCCACTTTGACTGGGCCAATCGGAAGGCTTGACCTTCTTTCTAAAGACTGCTTAACTGCTGGAGAGTCTGGACAGTTTATGGATTCAGGGTTTGAACCCTGTTGCAACTCCATGCTAGGAGATCTAGCAGTCAGGGGGCTTTGGAGGCTCATGTACATCTCAATCTCATCTGCAAGATTCCTTGACACCAGAGGTGGAAAGGTCCGTGTGGACTCCTGGCTCTGAATGGAGGTTGTGTCTTCAGTTTCTGAAGCAAAGAGTGAGAGTGGATCTGCTCCCATTTCGACATTCTCCCTCTCCACAGCTTTAGAGGAGGAGACGGCACTCCCTGTGGTTCGCCCAACTCGTTCACTGCTATTGGATTCTGCTGCTGCATTATCCCGCTTTATACTTTTCTCCACTCCCTCTGCTGCAGAAGTGAAGGATTCATGTTTGGTCTCCTGCTTTTCCTCTTGTTCTTCCTCCTGGAGGGCAGGGCTTAGTGTAGCCTCCACCTTGAACTCTTTAAACGGAGCAATGCTTGCAAAAGGAGGAGGAGTCTGGCTGCCGGAGAACACTGCTGCAAGAATTTTTGCATCTGCGCCCATGTGATCAGCACTGAGCTCCAGACTGCTTTTTTTCTGTAGCATGCCAGCTTTGCTCTCTGCACTAAAACTGCAGCTGCGCTCCATGAAGGCCTTTACCCTTTGCTGCTGTCCAGACTGCGGAAGCTGTGAATCTGGGATTACAGTAGCATCCTCCACAGACAAGGCCACATCTTCACTCTTTTTACGGGACATGAAGAGCTTACCAGTGCAAACACCTGCTGGAGACACAGAGGACAAACAGTGGCACTTACATCAAGTCCAAAACAAATACTGTATGAAATATTAGTGCTTGCAAGATAAGAAAAAGAACGAGATTATGTTTTAAACATTGCATCAGAGATACACATACATATATAGTCAGGTGCATAAATATTTGGACATAGACACAATTCTAACATTTTTGGCTCTGTACACCAAAACAATGGATTTGAAATGAAACAAACAAGATGTGCTTTAACTTCAGACTGTCAGCTTTAATATGAGGATATTTACATCAAATCAGGTGAACACTGTAGGAATTACAACAGTTTGCATATGTGCCTCCCACTTGTTAAGGGTCCAAAAGTAATTGGATAAGATGACAGATGCTGCAGAGGCCTGGCAGAGCATCACCAGGGATGAATCCCAGCATCTGGTGATGTCTATGCATTCCAGACTTCAGGCTGTAATTGACTGCAAAGGATTTGCAACCAATTATTAAAAAGTGAAAGTTTGATTTATGATTATTATTCTGTCCAATTACTTTTGACTCCTTAAAAAGTGGGAGACACATATGCAAACTGTTGTAATTTCTACAGCATTCACCTGATTTGGATGTAAATATCCTCATATAAAAGCTGACAGTCTGGAAGTTAAACCACATCTTGTTCGCTTATTCTGTGAAAATTTTAAATCCATTGTGTTGGTGTATAGAGTCAAAAATATTAGAATTTTGTCTATGTCTAAATATTTATGGACCTAACTGTATGTACACACACACACACACACACACACACACACACACACATACACACACATACATATATATATATATATATATATATATATATATATATATATATATATATATATATATATATATATATATAGATATATATAAATATATATATATATATATATATAGATATATATAAATATACACACACGCACACACATATGTATACATATTTATCAGAGGTCGCGTTAGACTTTCTTATTGTCCGTCTTTTTGACGGAAAGGGTTGTAAAAATTCCGTCATAACCTAATATTGATCGTTATTTAATTTACAGACTTTCTAATTGCTTTTTGTCATTCATATTTTAATAATAAACTTGCACGATGAGCATATAGGCTAAATTATTAATTAATTTATTTGAAAAATACAAAACAATCTTATCTGCCTTAACTCATATCTTCCTCCTGCGTCGACCTGAACAGGTGCTTGCCTGTATGTAATCAAACGCATCAAGGGAGACTGATGCAGAGGCAGTTGTCATTAAATTCTTTGTCTTTACCTCGGAAAGTTGAGTTCTCGTGACCAAAAACTGGAATTAGCGCCACTTCAGCCAGTGCTTTGTAGTTAGGAAACATTTCTCCTAAGGCTGTGATCAGAACAAAGTTTGCTGAATTCTCTGAATGTGGTATTTCCCGATCCTGCAAGCACTCGTTTCACCGGGAAAAAATACTACAGCACGCGCTCCTTCTGCACCCCTCTGCGATCGGTAGTGCTTACAATGCACTCCAAAGCACCTGAACTCCTTGCTGCAGTTTGGTTGGCTCGTAACAGCTGTCGGCGACTGAGGTTTTTGTCTGTTTGTTCTTCATCGTCCACTGCATCACTTCCTCTTTTTTCACCTTTATTATTAATATCACAACTATTTGGCCATTTTAAGAAACTTCTCATACTCAGCTGCTGTGACATTTTTGCAACTGTACGCAGCGGTGACAAAGAGGAGACAAAACAAGGACAATCGCCATCATCTTGACAGGAGTGGGAATTGCAGTTAGCTACAAATTACAATGGATCACCCTCAGCATAATCCGTCAAAATGACGGATCACCTTCAGATTTTTCTGTCACTGCTGAAAAAAATCTGTCAATGATGGAAAATATTCAGTTAACGCGACCTCTGATATATATATATATATATATATATATATATATATATATATATATAGTATTGTATAGCATAGTATACATTTTCAGCGACTGACCAGTTTCTCCCCTGCCTGCAGTGCTGTCAAAGTGGACAGGGATATCAGTAGAGGGTTTTACAATGCTGGCTACACATGGTGCTATCTCAGCAGGGCTAGGGGGCTCTGTTACAGCTACAACACTGTCCACAGAACTGGCAATATCTTGTCCTATAAAGAGTCAAAAGGAGGAAAATCTCAGAAAAATGATCCTTGACAACGTATGGCTGTAAGAGAAACTGCATTTATGAATGTGAATACATACATATCGAAAACAATTGTGTTAAGTAAAAAGAATTAGCTTGCAATGCTGTACCATTTTTGGTGTTGGTTTCTTTGCTACTACAGGTGTGGTTGGTAGACAGAGGTGGTGAGGTTACCGGTTCTTCTGTATGTTCCTGTGGTAATTCATCTTTAGATCCATAACCCTGATCAGACTGAGCAGCTTATTTAATCAAAAACACAAAACATACGTCAACAGAATAAAATAATAATTTAGCATAACAAATTATTTTTTGAATCACACAGAGCAACTCTACCTGTACTGTAGTGACTGTCAATAACATCCTCAACTAAAATGCTGTGGGAGAAGAGAATGTGTTCCTCGACAATTCCGTCTACGCTTCCATGACTCAGTCTGTCTCCATCAGCACCTACTGCTGTACTTGCTGAAAGATCTGTGTAAAAGTACATGCCATTTCACACAGTCATTTCATTATAGTGGTAACGTAAAATCAAACTAAATTATATCAGTCACTAATTATAATGATGTTAAACTTATATAAAATGAGTATTGCACAAAAACGCTTGTTGTATTTCTTATTAAATCAATTATTATGTACATTTAAACATATTCTAATGTGTTTCTTGTTGAAAACTTTAAACATAAATTCTTTACCTGCTATTTCTGAACAGTACGCTTACAATTAAAACATAATATTTAATCATGTTTTTACTGTCTTGTGTTTAAATAATATTTACTGTCAGGCATTAGGACAGGAATACAGGACATCTTTTCTGACCAAAATGGAGACTCAGAAGAGAATCACCAGAAGAGGGGGAAAGGAGGAAGAACCTGTACCTGTGCTTTTCAGAGAAGATCCTATTTGAAGAGTGGTCCCACGTAATGCCCGTTTAAACTGCACCACTCCTCGCACAAGGTTCCTCATTTTGGTCCACATGAAGAGACCGCTACGGTTGCGGCTTGGCCAAGGACTTTCCAGAACAGCCTGGACAATGCAGAATCATATACAGATCAGGGGGTTGCCATGACATTTACAATGCTCCCCGTTCACACTAGCAACAAGAACCCATTTTATTTAAGATGCTAAATATTTAAGTTATTAAATGAAAGATCTTTGCTTTGGCATGAAAAACACTAGAACTGCATAATTCTAATCTAATACAGACAGAGCTTGATTAATTTAAGGGAGGGATGGGTACAGCCGGAGCCCCACACTGCAAAAAATGCTTTTCTTACTTAGATTTTTTGTCTTGTTTCTAGTCCAAATATCTAAAAATTCCTAAATCAAGAAGAGTTTTCTAGACAAGCAAAACAAGACAATATGTTTTGCTTGTTTAGAAAATGCTTCTTTATATAAGAAATTTTAAATATTTAGACAAGAAACGAGAAAAAAAAATCTAAGCAAGAAAAGCATTTTTTGCAGTGCAGGGCCCAACCAAGAAAATGCCAGCTGTAATTAGCTGTGGAGGAAAAAAACGTACAGAAGGATTGGCAATTGATCAAACTGAGGCCCTGTTTACACCAATACGTTTTATTTTTAAACTGCAATTTAGAAAACGATCCACGTCCACACTGGTGTTTCACCGAGAGTTTCTGAACAACTCTCCGTCTACATTACACTGCTGAAAAAGCACATCGCATCACACACACAAAACACACACTCTGGCATGCGCTGCAACGTGCTTTGAGCACATCTACCCATATAAGAGCTGTGCACATTAGACTGCTCATCAAGGATCCACCGCTTAATCTAATCTCAATATATTTGTTAAACGTGATATTTAAATTCAACTTGTTGTCTAAATCTGACAACATATTCCTCAACTTTGGTCTTTTGAATCTATTACTTGCTCTCAGGTAATGCGTTTTGGCTGAGTGCAAAGATAAGTTAATATATTATTTAATATAACCACGCACACATATTCTGCAAATTTGACAGATTGCTTGCATTATTTCCTATAATGTATAAAACTATTGTACCTTATACTTTTATAATGGCCATTATTGATTATTATAAACTGATATTCAGTGAAAGGGAGTGTATATCTCTTGATTTCAATTAAAATGAAAGAAGGCAGTAATGTTATAGGCTCCGTTTTGTTATGCATACAGTGAAGATGGCGCTAATATAAATATGCAGCTACACGACACCTCAACATTTTTATTGTCAGTTAAGTTGCTAATACATTCATCTTCTTTTCGGCCTAGTCCTTTTATTAATTTGGGGTCGCAACAGCGGAATGAACAGCCAACTTATCCAGCGTGTTTTTACGCAGCAGATGCCCTTCCTGCCGCAACCCATCACTGGGTTACAAAATGAAAGTTTTTACAGTTTCCTATATCATGTTTTAATTTTTTTGTTAAGAAAGTGAAACAGCATAGCCAGGGTGAGGTGAATGAGGTTGTAAAGTACACTGTTCCCTTTGAAGATTTACCCGACATGTCCTCGGGAGTTTGTTTTCCATATCCAACTTGCAAAGTCTGAACCTACAAGGAGAGAATGCAGGACTAAGCTGTGACTTAATATTGAGGAAAAGCCTTGAATTAGATAAGTGAATGTCTGCAGCCCGTCTCCATTTTCAGATGTCTTCATTTTTCCTCACCCACACTGAGACAGAGCAGCAGCATTTTAAAATGAAAATGGCCTCTTCAGCGTTTCCAAAAAGTTTAGTCTTCGGCGCTTGAAAACTCTGGCGTAGTGTGGACAGATGGCGTCACTGTAGCAAAACGGATGCGTTTTTTAAACTAAAGCGTATTACTGTAAACAGGGTCTCAATTGTCCACAAATTTATGGTAACATGGAAAATGAAACCAATATGTTGTGTAACATCCTTTGAATTCTCCAGTGAAATGTAATATTCTCAGTTGAGTAACATCAAGCACAGGTTGCAGGGCAAAATAGAGAATAGTTTAAAAAAATGAGCGCTGATTTTGATGGGAAAAGATCTGCTATTTAATTGGTCTAGTATTTTGTCCAGAAGTAAAGGTTTAGGGTTCAAATGGCTCCATGGATTTTTTTCTGACAAATTTCCTCACATTACAAAACATTAATTAATCATTCTAATCAACTGAGTTGTGTGGTGTGGATTAATAGTGGATTATTGGAAAATACTTAAGCGGAAGAGTATTTTACTAATTTATCTTTAATAAGATGACAATTCCATAAACATGCCTTCAGGTTCAAAGCACCAGCGCAAATCTTAAAAATGAATTCCATAATATTATTTAATTCATATTTAAATCATTTGCAATTTGGGCTATGAAGAAAAAAATTCTAATCAAAGCAAATTATATGTAACAGAAAATGCTAAAATAATACCATACTGTATTGCAGTGTCAGTATGCAAAAATTCACTAGTCTTCATTGCTCTGAGGATTAGTGCTGTAGTCCACTTTAAACTAGTGAGAATTTCCATACCTTGTTGTAGTATCCATAAGTAATAGCATTGGGTTCAACTCCAGCCTTTTTCATCTCCATTAAGACACGCACAGCCATGACGGGCATCTCCCACAGACCACATAACTGCATCACCACACGGTAACACACCTGCCAAACACATGCAGTTTTTTACTGTAATGAAACCACTTTGACCTATCTAGTTCGACACAGGACAAATAAAATAAACATCCCAAATGTTTCCTTAAAAGTTCACTTAATACATGCATAGAAAATGAAAATACATTATTTCATTACTTTCTTAACATTTTCCTATTTAAAAAAAATCATTTTTAACTATATATATTGTGTAGCTTTTATTTAGGAGTAGCCGACATGGGTTATTAAACACCACCAGTGAAAGTCAAACAAAGCAGAACAAACAATCAGTAAAAAGTCAGAATCCCTTCATTTATTAATTTTCTTTTCAGCTTAGTCCCTTTATTAATCTGGGGTCACCACAGCAGAATGAACCGCCAACTTATCCAGAACATGTTTTATGCAGCGGATGCCCTTCCAACTGCAATCCATCACTGGAAAACACCCATACACTTCCATTCCTACACACATACTACGTACAATTTAGCTTACCCCATTCATCTATACCACATGTCTTTGGACTTGTGGGGGAAAAAGGAGCACCTGGAGGAAACCCACGGCAACACGGGGAGAACATGCAAACTCCACACAAAAATGCCAACTGACCCAGCCGAGGCTCGAACCAGCGACCTTCTTGCTGTAAAACAATTGTGCTACCCACTGCGCCACAGTGCTGGCCATCCGAATCCATTCACACGTTATTGTATAAACGACTGAATAAATCAGTTTAATTATTTAACTGAATAAAAAGCTTTAAAATAGTCACAGCTAGTGCATTCTTGATGGTCACAGATATGGTCTATATCAGCGGTGTCCAAACTACAGCAAGCGGGCCATCTGCGGCCCGCAATCAGTTTTGTGGCGGCCCGCGAGGCTTTTTATAAATATCAATAGAATCTGGCCCGCTATACAAAAATGAACGTAATTCAATAAATAACCACCGGGTGTCGCTATTACAAGCATTCAATTAAGCAGCAGTTCTTGTTATGATCTATCTGTCTGTCCGTCTGTCCATCCATTTATCCATCGATCTATCTATCTATCTATCTATCTATCTATCTATCTATCTATCTATCTATCTATCTATCTATCTATCTATCTATCTATCTATCTATCTATCTATCTATCTATCTATCTATCTATCTATCTACACAGTTGAAGTCTAAATTATTAGCCCCTCTTTGATTTATTTCTTCTTTTTTAAATATTTTCCAAATGATGTTTAACAGAGCAAGGGCATTTTCACAGTATGTCTGATAATATTTTTACTTCTGGAGAAAGACTTATTTGTTTTATTTCGGCTAGAATAAAGAAGGATTTAAATTTTTTATGAACCATTTTAAGGTCAAAATGATTAGCCCCTTAAGTCTTCAGAACAAACCATTGTTATAAAATAACTTGCCTAATTACCTTAACTTGACTAGTTAACTGAATTAACCTAGTTAAGCCTTTAAATGTCACTTTAAGCTTTATAGAAGTGTCTTGAAAAATATCTAGTCAAATATTATTTACTGTCATTGTGGCAAAGATATAATAAATCAGTTATTAGAAATGAGTTACCCCTGCTCTATATCATGGACTTAGTTCTTATCAATGTTCTTGTAGTTTGTTCCTGTTTTTGGTGCCAGTCATTTTCATAGTTAGTGATTTTGCTCCACATCAGGGATTCATTTAGTTATTTATTATCGGTTGTATTTAACACCGTTTCACAGTTATGCTGTGGTCACACTAAAGTTTGAGCATGCAAAATTCTGTCATATGGCGCATATGGCAGTGCCACAAACAGGTTAACTCCATGTCATGCCTTATTGCTGCAGTAGTTCAGGCAAAAGAAGCCCCAACTAAGTATTAACTGCTGTGCATGCTCTTACTTTTCATTTTTATACTTTTCAGTTGACCAAGATTCCTAAATATCTTTTCTTTTTATTGGTCTTAATAATATTATAATTTTCTGAGATACTGAATTTGAGGTTTTTATTATTCATTCATTTTCTTTTCGGCTTAGTCCCCCTTATTAATCTTGGGTCACCAAAACGGAATGAATTGTCAAATTATCCAGTATATATTTTACACAGCAGACGCCCTTCCAGCTGCAACCCATCACTGGGAAAGAGTTTTCATTAGTTGTAACCAAAGTCATTAAAAGAAATCAACACTTGAAATATATCAGTCTGTGTGGAATGAATGTATACATTATACAAGTTTCACTTCTTTAATGGAATTATTGAAATGTTTAAACTTTTTGAAGATATTCTAATTATATGACCAGTACCTGTACATGTAAACCTAAGATATATACACATTCTAGCAATTATTTTATTTTATCGCCATACCTCGTCAAGCACTTCCACCTCAGAGCTCCTCATCTTGAGCAGAACATTAAAGGCCTGCTGCATGGCGCGGGGCTTGGACTGTGCAGTACGCATGCGAGCAGGAAGACAGATGAACCACAGACTATAGCAGTGACTACACAGACACTTTGCCCACTGGGGTGGATTGGAGTAGAAACGCTTCGCCAATTTGTAGGCCATTTTGATTTCCTGTGTGGATCAAAAGAAAAAATCCTGTTTTAGGTTTGAGACACCATAAAGGGCATTCTACAATAAACAATCGTGAAGTGCGAAGCATATTAGAGGAACTAATTAACTATCAAACACATAAATGTTTTGTGAACATACTTTTTGCAATTTATTATGCAATCCATTCCTTCTGAAAAGCACCTCAGTGGAAATTGTTTTATTTTTCAGGATGTTTGAGAACCCAAACACATTAATGCATTGAAATTATACTTGAAAAGAGAACTGATGAAACACAGACAGTCATTAAATGTCCTCTACAGACCACAGAGTGTTTGGGGAAGTTATTTTATGATTGGTTAAGATCAGCTGATGGTGGTTTACATTTTAACCACTGCACATAAAAAGTATGACTCTGAGTAATGGCTATTACAACACAGACTGCCTGAACACAAAAGACTGCACAAATAGATTTTCCAGTTACCACAGTACATTGAAAAGACTAGGCTAATATTTTGTGGATGACTTAATTTTTCAGGAGATCCTAATTATGCTTTTTGATTAACATTACCCACAAACACACACACACGGAGAGAGAGGGAGATAGGGAGGGAGAGAGAGGGAGAGAGAGAGAGAGAGAGAGAGAGAGAGCGAGAGAGAGAGAGAGAGAGTAAGTGAATACTAATCAGTTAATTAAAGATATGATGTTGATGGCAGTACAAAGTTTATGAAAATTATTTTGCTTGATGTTCACTATTTTACTATTTTAGAATTGTTAATGTTTAAGGTAAGTCTGTAGATTTTTCGATAGACAAAGTTCATGGATCTGTTTCTTCCTCCAATTCACAAGTGTAAGTAGGTGCAATTAAAATGGTTGCCTCCTTGTTTTGTCTAGCTTGAAAAATATATATATTTAATTGTGTTTTGTTACTTGTAAACACTCCATGTGGCTTGTTTTGTATCTGATTAACTCTATATTTTCATATTGCGTCTAAAACCATGCTAAAAACACAACGTGTGGCACTTTCTTTATGGATTTAAATGCAATTGTGAGCTTGCTATTCTCTGCCATTTGTCATTGCTATGGCCACCATCAGTTGATCCTATACACGAGCAGTGGTCAAATTTCAAAATAGTTCAGCTTTTGCCATTGTGTGGATTATTACTGAATGTGTCATTGTAACTACTCACGGTTAAGAATAGAGCAATATGCTGGTGTTTAACTGCATTGCTTTAATGCACTCCTACATGGGGCTCACACATACACACTGTGCTCTGACTATTTCAACAATACTGATGAGCCATGGTTTCTCTCTGTCTCCTGCTGAACATAGTCGACCAATTACAACAGACTGGGTCAGCAGACCAATCAGCGCAGATTAGCATTGTCGCTGAACGAATCATATGTCGTTGGAATAATTAGGTAAAAATAAATGCATATTATAAGACAATGAAAGCTTTTTTGACCTAGCATGCACATCAGTCTGTTGTTTGAGACCCCAAAACTAAAATATGACCTTTTTTAATGCATATTAGGGGCTCTGGTTTGGAACAAGTGAAGGATAAATGATGTAAATCATGATATAATTTTTTTTTTTGTCCACTGTAGATTACACATATTTTGAGCAATGTTTGGAGCAATGTTGCTTTTATGGAGGGAAAAAAATCGAATATTTACAAATCGAACATTCATTTTATTCCCCACTGTACAGTACGCGTGTGTAATGGGTGAAATGTAAATCTATAGAGCATAGACTCTGTAGTATATTAGAATGGTTTAAGGCTACAATATGCAAGAAATTCTACATGAATATGATTGAAGAAATTCGTCACCTGTTTAGTTCTTTTGGCCAGAAGGGCAGGACTGCTGGACACACTCGACCCTGCAGCTCTTGTGCTTAATGCTGGCCTCAGTTCTAGTGGACGATCAAACAACTCCAACCGTAAACTAGGGAAATTCTTATAACTGGAAAAACAGAATAAAAATGGAGCACAGAATAAAAGAAAAGTTACACAATTTAAAAACAGAAGTTTGTGACATTTACTATCAACTATCAACAATACATATATTATAGTATTTATTCATCTTTGTTAATGTTGGCTAACAATAATGAAATGGATAGACACTATTTTTTGCATTAATAATTAATAAAGTATGTTTTTGATCATTAGTACTGGAAGTTTGAAGTTGAGTATCTTGCCTAAATGTAGCCAAAAATATATTAAAGGCATTGTTCACACAAAACATTTACATTCTTCCATAATTTACTCACTTGTACCAAGTTAGTTTTTTTGTTCTGTTGAAATGAATAAAGACATGCTGAAGAAATTAAGATATACTGAAAAATGTTGGAACCCTTAAACCATTGAGTTTCATAGTATTTGCTTTTCTTACTATGAATGGCAATGCTTAAGATTCATTAAAACGTCTTTTGTGTTCAACAGAATAAAATAGCTCAAAGTGGTTTGGAACAAGTCAAGAGTGAGAAAATGATGGGATGAACTATGCCTTTAATATATTTTAAATCACAAATGCCACATTTGCAGAAGATACTCAACACAACACAAAACGACTAAAATTTAAGTGCATAATCTTTATGGATGACAACTAGACGAATCCTAATTGACCTTTTTACTCATTCACAACAAATACATCTCTGTAAAAGATGTTTTGCATAGTTTTTTAGTTATTAGGCATGGGCCGGTATAAGATTCTGACTGTAGAATAACCTTGCATAAAAATATCACGGTTTGACAGTATTGTGCTTACTGTTCTAAAAAATATTCTTTTCAAATATATGGGTAAAAAAACGAAAACCCATTTAAACAATATATTTTATTTTGAAAAACATTTATTATATTTTGGAGCAGTAAATATGTCAGGCTGAATAATGAAAATGAATCATTGACTTCTGCTGTCTTCACTTGTTTCAAAAACATATATTTTTTCCTGATTTAAAATGGCATCTTTGGATATCTTTTCTACTGGACATACTGTTGTCCACCTTTTGCCCTGCCTGTTTGCATAATTCAGTTGTGGATATTTCACACTCTTAAACCATAAATATTAATGTCTCATCCACAATAGCAACACAACACAATGCAAAAAAAAACCTGGAAAAGAAAAAGCTCTACATTACTTTTAGAAACAAGGTTGTATATGAGCTAAATTTAGAAAAGCATGGTACAAAAAACTAAATAAAACAGAGAAGGCCACTACAGTGCAAACAATGCCAGTAAGGGCAATGTGCATGGCCAGTCTTTAGACTGTGCTCTGAATGACAGGCAGGTACTCAATAACTCAAGAGAATCAAGAAAATAGATTAAGCTGACCTTGTGCTAATCAATACAGCTGTTTTAAAAGTGATTAGGGCTAAAGAAACTCTCACATTGATTTAAATATTATTACCAACACCGCTTGCAGAAATGAAGGTGAGACCCTACACTAAATTTTCATTCAAGGCTACAAACAAGTCTTCCTTGAAGAAATTGTAAATAATGTTTACATTTCTAATGTGTATTTCCTGTTTGTATTCAAATAAAGTGACTGTGAAAGATTAATTAGTTATGATCATTGCACCATTTCTAAAAAAAAAAAACACAATGAATGGTAATAGTGCCCTATGGCTTTTGCACAGTAATGTACATTTACAATTTTAAATGTCATAAATAAAGTGGACATATTCGTTAAACTACAAGATTAGGCTAACAGATCTCTTTGAGGTCCATCTATGAGTGAATGGTAAAATCCATGTAAATGCACAGTCGACCCAGGTGCAAGTTAACCTAGAACAAGTTCATCCTCAATCTTTTTAAAAATTTTTAAATTGAGGCAGATGCTAATGCATTGAATGCCCCTGTAAGCTGTTTGCAACAGGTTTCGATTTGTACACATTGGACAGAAACATTTTTGTAATATTTTTCAAATATTAATTTGAATAATCCTAGCCGTTTCTTGTTTTTTAGTTCATCACTGACTTTCATTTATTTACTCATCTTATTGATTAACTTGAAGCAAAGTTTAAGTAAGTAGTCCTTTAAAGTCAATGTAAAATGGAGTTACAGCAGTCATTTCTTCCTTATTGTGGCATGGAGTACAGTATATACAGTACAAGGAGTGAAAAGGTAAAAAAAAAAAGTGTAGGTTGTTTGTTTTACTTCAATAAACCGTTAATTAAAGTTGCATCATGAATTATGATAAAAAAAGATATTTAAGATATTTACCTGTACTTGGGAGGGGGGTCAGGACCATCTTCCAAAGGGGGTTCAGGAGGCATGACAAAAACTGTGTGCTCACTCTTCTGGGACTCGTCCAGTTCCATCAGCCTGGTGTCCTCAGAAGACTCGCCTTCAACCTATGCCACATGGTTACAGTTTTCAAGTCTACAGGTATTATGATTATTTTGTTTGTCTACAATTGTTGCAATCAAATATTAACAATGTATAAGATGCCCTACAATACCCGTGGCACAATGTAACGGAAGGTGCAACGCAATTTTTTTTGCTATTTTCAGGCTGGTGCTGGCATTATGTACACGCCCTCTACTATGCTATATAAATTGCAAATGCATTTGCACCCATAGACATCCTAGTCTGAAAAGGAGGTGTGCTAAGGTGAACTATTGGTGGGGTTTTTTTTACTAGGCGGGTTAAGGTGTGTGTGTGTGTGTGTATATATATATTATTAAATTTTTTTTTTCATTCACCTGCAGGCAATTCCTGTAATATTCCATTACTTGCTCTACATTATTCCCATGCAAAGGGTGTTTATATAAATTATGTGCCAATCCATCCAACAGCAGATGGCAGAGTAAATTATTTACTGCACTAAACTAACTGTGTTGCATATGAACAGTAACAACCATCTGTTCTTACATCTCCTGTAAATGTAGATCTAAGATTAATGTTCCAAAACTCTAAGGTAGTAAAGCAAGGCATAATAATAGTTTATTATAGTTTATCCTCTTAACATAACTTTGGCAGAATGCTTTTCAATTGCTTTGTCTTACACTGGTGCATCATTAATCTAACATTAAGCTTAAAACAGTAACTGCACTGATAGGATTGCCTCACCTTTGTACCCTTGTCTGTCCCTTTGTCAGAAGGAAAAAGCTGAAAGAAAGCCATGACAAATTTAGTTACAGGAAACTCCGCATCCTCTTATCTTCCAATTGGAAAAAAAGTTTCCTGTTAGTGTTTTACAAATGAAAATACTTTTTATAGGCAGAATTTGTTTATAAAGAAATGCAATGTTGTTGTGAGCGCTTCACAAAACGTTTAAAAATGCTGTGTTTTTGATTGTTTGTGTATGGTAACATGCATGTGATAAAGTAGTATACTTTGGGTTTAAGCTAGTATGAGCAATTGTAATATTAGCATTTAAATCATATTTAATTAATATGTTATCTTAGGATCTTAGCATGCACCACTAATAATGAAAATATATTTTAGTTTACTGATTGACATTCCAGTGTGCTGTCAAATTGATGCAAATCTTACTTTTCGAATGCAGTCATCAAAGAAAGCCAGGCCGGTGTCTTTGTCACTGACAAAAGTACATTCCTCAACAAAGCGGATGAAGATCTGAGTCTTGGTGAGCTGAGAGTAGAACTTCTGGTGAGCACGATCTCTGCTCTTCAAGAATCCTAAAGGAAGAAACGGTTGTTTAGAAGCATTCTTATAAATCATACATAATGAGGTATTCTGAAAATTTAAAAATGCAGATTGCTTCCTGTGTGGAGCGCTGGCTGTTGTCAGACTCCCTGTGCAGACAATAATCTCACAGTACAATTAAAATTAATGCCACAAACATTGTTTGGAAAAAAATAAATATATATTTCAAACTGACATGCTACAGAAAAATAAAGAAATAACTGACTTTAAACCCTGTTTTATTGGTGAAAATATCATCATTATCTACAAATAGTTAAAATAAGATTCTGTTTTGCTCAACAAGAAAAAAATAATGAAAAAGAAAAGTGAGAAGTAGCAAAATAAGTCTGACTTATTGCCGGTAATACAGACCTAAACTCCTGCTCTGGTCATACAGAGACCAGAAAGCCATTAACAGAGCATCTCACATCCCATACTCCCAGAGCACCCCCCACAGAATGCCATGAGGAACATGGTCAAATGTCTTCTCTAAGTCCTCACAAACACATGTGGGCTGGACGGGAAAACTCCCATGAGACCTTGGAAACAGACCTGGTCCAGTGTTCCATGGCATATTTTACAACACAACTGCATTGTTTAAAACACAATAAAAACATTTTACTTGACCTGATACTATATGATTAGCAATAGCTAGTAGAAAATCTTTTTTATGGCTGTGATGTATTCTGAAATCTATTAGCTGTTACAGAAAGATTGATCCCTTCAGTGTTACAATGAGCAATAGAACATCTGACAGACAGAAAACCAAGATATTACTCCATTACTCTATTCTTCTTAAGCAGTTACCTTGCAGGTCGTAGAGCGAATCTGCAGCAGTAGCTTTTTCAGAAGGTGCTTGTGTGATGGGTTTGAGGTAGGTTCGGTAGCCCTTCAGTATGGAGGCCATAAAGCGCAGGAACACTTCTTGAATCTCCATCTCCAGCTCAGTCTTTTTCTTATGCCAGGTGAAGTCAGCTTCGATAGGGGTCATCTCCACTGCCAAGCCTTCTGTGGCTGTACGCCGAACTGTACAGAAAGAAATGCTAATATAGTAGAGATCAAATTATGGTGACCGAGAGAGCTCAATTGCACTACAAATTAAAAACACATGCAAAGAGAAAAATATTAACAAACTAAGAAAACACATGCAAATAAAAAAAACATTGACAAACCGGGAAAATGCATGAAGTTTGTTGTCTATGTTAATGTTGTGATTGTACAGTTCCTTGTTGTTTGTGAATTTTATCCTTTAGAATCTGACTAATTGCACAATTCATCTTAAATGAAATGCTATTTTTCAGTCAACAAATTCACTCACTTTAAACATGAAGCAGCCAGGTTTACATTTTTGAGTCTCCTTACATAGTTCTATTATGGTCTGTGCTATTTACAGTGTTTGCATGTGCGCGTATGTGTTGTCAAGTTAATGAAATTTTGTGATGAAATTTGCTAGTGGTCTTTTATTTGCACGTGTTTACTTAATTTGAAGTACATTTGATTTCTCTCAGGCCCAATACCGAACCATGACCACACTATACATATTGAAAATGAATAAATAACAGAGATTTGTGAGATGCTGATCATGTATAAAGAAACTGAAAGGACAGCTTACCAGTGGCAAGCTGGTGGTGCAAGCTTCCTAAGAAACTGATAAGACTCTTGGAGGGCTTCTTTGGGAGATTCTTCCAGTTACTGTGTCGTTTCTCATCAGACCTTAACAGTTCAAAAAAACAACAACAAAAAAACATTGCAAATATGAAAAACCAGAAGTGATGGTTTATGTACACTGCCCATCCACAAAAAAAAAAAAAAAAAAAAAAAAAAAAATGCTGCTGGATTCAATTAAGCAAATACGCTAAGAGCATCTGGGACTACTGCACAAAGTCTTCTCCAACACATAACAAATATTCTCATTAAGGTTAAGGTCTGGACACTGTAGTGTAAAAATACTCAATGCTCCTTGAACCACTCTTTCACAATTTAAGTCTGATGAATTCTGACATTGTTATCTTGGATTATGGCTATGCCGTCAGGGAAGAAAGAAATATCCATTGAATGAATAACCTTCTCATTCAATACATTCAGGTAGTCAGCTGACCTTATTCTTTGGACACTTAATTTCCCCAGATCATAGCACTTGCCCAAAAGCTTGAATGACAGGCACTAGGCATGATGGTCCTTCACTTCATCCTTCTTTCCTCTTACCCTGATGCGAATCACTCTGGAACAGGGTAATTCTGGATTCATCAGACCACATGTCCTTTTTTATGGAACAAAATCAATGCCAAAAGTATTGAATTAAAAAGCTTGTTGTATAGCACAAACTAAAAAAAATATTACACTGAATTAACAAGTTCTTGCATCTTAATGACTTGAATTCCAGGGTTTGTATTTTTAGGTCCTAAAATTTAACATATCTGTTTATTTAAGCTGTGAATATTTTAACGAAAAAATATTTCCAACACATTTTCATACTTATAAATTCAATAATTCATATTCAATTTACAGATTTCACTTACAAAATATTCAATACCCTTTAAAAATACGATATATAATATTCAAAAGGCAATTTTCAGTTTATTTTATTTCAGTTCAAATATTCCCTTCCATAAATTCAATGGTTCAAATTCAACTGTTAAAATTCAACATTACATCCGGGAACTGCAGGAAAAGCAATAGATTGCAGACTGAAGATCGCCAGCTGCTCTTTCCCCAGTAATTCAATAATTTAAGATTTTTAACCCAGTAAACAGGTGAGAAAAAGCTAATAAAGGCACAAAAAGTAGCATTTAATATTAATATCAATGCCTTGGACATTATAAATAATAAAAAGATTGATTCTGAAAAATTGAAAACTGAAAAAAGATTGGGCTGTTTAAACGCAGCTATGTCAGGTTTGGCATAGAAATATTCACAGCTTAAATAAACAGATATGTTAGATTTCAGGACCTAAAAATACAAATCCTGGAATTCAAGTCATTAAAATGCAAAAACTTGTTAATTCTGTGTTTTTTTTTTTTTTCAGTTTTTGCTGTTCAACAAGCTTTTTAATTCAATACTTTTGGCATTGATTTTGTTCCATACTTCTTTCATTCGTTCCAGAGTTCAATTCATATGCTTCCTAGCTTGCTTTTAACATTTAATCGATTGTCGACCTTGATCATTCAAGATATTTTTTTTACCATATGTCTTCCTCAAAGATGACGGTTTCTATGTGTTGGACATTTCTTAACCCAGCTTTAGTAGTTCTGCATAAATGTTTCTTTGCTTGACGCATGCCAATAATTTGCCCCTTCAACTTCCCCCAGCTGAAACGTAATCATCCCTGTAGTAATTAACCAATGGGAGGTTCTGATCTATTTGCTTTGTCAAATCCAGGTGGTTACTTTATTTTGGCTGGGCAGTGTAAATAAAATGACAAAAGCAATTACACAAAGTCGTAAATAAAGAACAAACACTATTAAATTTCAAAATGTTCAAGAGTGCTCACAAATATATAGTGTTGGTGTCCAAGTCCACACACACTACGTCAGGAGGGGGATCGTAGAGGTCAAAGTATCTTGAGTCAACGCCCACAATGAAAGGACATGGTGCATTGAGAACCCCCGCCAAAGACAGAGGGCAAAGAGGAATATATGGACATTGCCACTGGAAGGGGAAGATCATCTAGAAGGAAATAATAATGAGATCACATTTAATCCAATTGTTTAAAAATGAATTGAAATATTTTCATTCGTAACCCACTTGTAATTTACATAAGTTCATTGATTACCAAAAAATTAGATCCTGAAATACTGTCAAGTGAGGAGAGCGGTGAAATCAGCACAAACACTTACTGCCACAACAGCCTCAGCCACTCCAGTCAGAACAGCTGGTCGAAGGGAGTGCAACAGGATCTTACTTTCCAGCAGGACAAAGTGAAGCAGTGTGGCACAGTTTTCTGGGCCTAGATTCATAAGCAGTGTACTGTAGTCTGCTCCACTGAGTAAAGAATACGAAGAGAGAAAAATATCAAATGCTGAATTTAAAAAAGGTCATTTATTTAGCAGTATGAAGACATGTTCATATTGATACATGACATTTAAAGTTTAGTCACTCTTAGGGTGCTTTCACTTCTAGACTTTTGTGTTGGACCCGTTTCGTTTGCCCAATTAGCACGGATCGTTTGGCATATAATCCAGCAATCGCGCTTGGATCCATGCCAAAACAATCCGTCAGAGATCGCCTAAATGAGGTGATCTAGGGTCAATTGAATTGAACTCTAGAGCGGATCGATTGTATTGAGAAAGCAATACAATTCGAGCCAGGCTATATCACAGCGTATTATGAATATGTAATAGGTATTTATACAGCTATATGAAAAGAGAAGTATGAGTAGGGTTTGATGTCATTCCTACCGGTGATTGTGCGTTCCATGTCAAATAAGAAAGTGAAAGCATGCTAACTATTAATGGGAGCTGTTTTTCCTTTAAAAAAATTGACCGAACAGCAGTATTGGTTTAACTTGGTTATTTCTCTCTATAATGTAAAGCCTATAATGTATAGTTCTAGCCAACGGTTATGTATGAGAAAGTCTTACTTCTGATTACATCTGGTGACGATGTCTGTGGGTGTCATCATTTAAAATTAAAAGCACAGCTTTTCACTTGTAATGTCTTCTTGCTCATCGTCATAAATTAAATAAGGACACATGACAGCTGAGCGGGAATGTAAATAAACCATGAAACTCTGACCAATGTGAGGAGAGTTTACCAACACGTGACTTGTTTTAGTTATTTTGGTCCATTTAGTAACTTTGTAGTGTGAAAGCGAACCGCACCAAGAGCAAATGCAACATTGTAACAATTTTAATCCTTCTTTTGGAACAAAAGAATCGATCCACAGGTGTGAAAGCACCCGTAAAAGCACATATTCAACAATATTAATTAAAATCTATTACATTTAATCATTACAGTATATGGATTGACTTAAGGATATTAACATAATGTGCCTATTTTATACAATTAGTTGCATTTTATTTACTAACAATCTTTATCATAGTATTGATTATCCTGTACACCAACAGGAACGCAGAAAAAATGAAATAAAATATGCAATGTGTCGGTTAAGAAACAGTTAAAAAATTAATTCTAGTTGTTGAAAAAACACTATTTTTTTTTCATTTTTAACTAATCAAACAAATGCACATTCTAGCATGTTGAATTTCCCGACAATTTCAGCAGAACAAGTTACAAATTATGTATCACTGTTAAACATATTGTTAGTCAATATTTGCTTGATGTGTTGATCTAAATAATTATCTGTTAACTGATTTAAATGATAATGATCACCTTTCTGCAACCTCCCTTGAAAATATTGGCCTGTGTAATTGAACGTGCCTAATATAGCACCTTCACCATCATGTAAAAAAATAAAATTATAAGAAATATTCTATAGTAATAAAAACATATTAATAAAGCTAAAAACTAAAAATTGTCTTTTAGAGTTCTGTGAAATATTCTGAGTTTGTGGGACAATTTGTGCAATTAATAGGAAACATTGAAAACTGTGAAGCAGCAATATCATTAACTGTATTTTTCAAATCAGAAAAAGCTAAATTGTCGTTATACTGTGGGTTTATAGGTTTGTTTGCTCATTGGGTATTCATACTGCAGCACCACTAAATATTGTTAGTTAAATCAAAAGCATTAAAAAACATCCAACAACCATAAATTGTGCAAACAAAAAATAAATAATTGAAATTGAAAATAATAAAATAGATTTTACTATGTCAAAAAATATATATTTACCTCAGTGGTAAAGGTGTACAAACAGGTTGGGACAGGATTAAGGTGTCATGTGCAGACAGCTTACCGGGGAAATAATAATAAAAGAATTAGTTTTGATATCACCTAAGCAAAAAACTGTCTAAACTGTTGAGACAGGTGATTCATTTAATACAAAACTGTGTGTAAATATTACAAAAATAAATACAATTTAAAATAAATAAAAAAAAACTCACCTGAACCAGTATTCTTGGCCTCTGAGGAGACGGGAAGGATACATTGTGCATGAAATGGGATATATGTCTAAAGAATAATAATAAAAACAACATTCAGAATCAATTCAGTATTGGTGCATATCTTGATCACACTCAAATATGAATTTGATCAATTTTGAGGATGATAAAACATAAATATGCACACATACAAAGCATTCAAAGCTTATCTTGATTTTGTACGGTAGATTACATGACCAACAGTCTTAACATGCTTAAAAAAAGACTAAAATGCTAACATAAGCCACTCTTTTTTTTTTATTCTCCAAAAATAAACATTCAGCACATAAAATACGTTTTACAGAATATGATGCCTTGGAAGGGAACAGCCTATCTATGTTGTTTATTGGGTTCTAAACTAAACTAAATTGTCCAAAAGGGTTATATTTGAAATCATGCAGTAAGATAAAAAAAAACTATAGTAAAAGTAAGAATCTGTTTGTACTTCTCAATAGGTAGAGGGCTGACTCCATTGGCCGACAGCTTATAAAGAAACATGAGGAACTTTCTAAAGGCCTCAAAGAAAGGCCAGCGGGACAGCAGGCAGATGCACTTGTTGGTGTTGACTGTGCGGTTGGGAAGGACTTTCTTGTCTACTGCAGAGACAAGACCCAGCTGGATCTTCTGTTTCTCGCTGAGGCCATCCACAGGATAAGGCTCGTAAAACTGTATTCCAGCTCCATATACCTGAAGAAGAACAAAAACATGACTGTACCAAAGTTCCTTAAAAAATCAAATTTTCCCCTTCGATAAAAAATTCTAAATTAAACACAATTAACACTAAAAATACAGAGGCGGGCATGTTGACCCTTTTTAAATGTAGTAATTTAATAACTTTGTTAAAACTGAACCTATATAACTATAATACCCTGACTTTCCTAAATGTGTGTGTATTTCTTTCTAATATTGTTAGAAAGCATACAAGCATAACTTTATGAAAGCAGTGATAATAGTTATATAATTCTGGTGATTCTAGTGTTAAACAGAAATGTGCTAACTGTGGACAACAAAGTGTATTAAAATTGATTAAGTATAACTTTTACAACAGTGTAACAAGACACCACATTCACACATTACTACTTCACTTTTTGCACATTTATACCTTCTCTCCATTGGAGTTGGTGAGGACAAATGTGGAGAAAACGGGTAAAGGGTAGCGTGTGTTTGGAGCCCAGCATTCAATCTTGGCCCCCATAGGCAGGCAAAAGAGGGGTACAGACTCAGAGAGAGGAAATGACTCGTAGTCCTCCTCAGGATATCGAAAGATCAGACCTTTAAATGGCAAGATTCGTTAGAGGCCATACAAGGCAAAATTATTTGTACAGCACATTTCAAACACAATAGTATTTCAAAGTGCTCTACATAAAACATATTTTAAATGTAAATGACAAAATAAGAGAAAATTAAAAATAACAAAAGAGAAAGATACCAATAAAAAGAGAAAGTTTCATAAATAGTAGAGCTATTAGAAAATATCATTGGTCTCCCGTTTTCTGGTATCAGCATTTCAAGTAATATTTTTAAAAAAATAAATAAAATATACAAACAAATGTTATCTTAAAACTTTTGAGACAGGAAGATTGGTTTCTCAGAGATTAGTGCAATGTCGTGTGACAGGACGTGATGCCACATGGAGATAAAAAAAAACTAGCTGGTTTTTGAGTGAAAGGGAACTCAATAACAAACTATTATGAACTCCATACTGAAACTACAGTATTTAATAAATAAAACAGGCATCATTTGGCCTGTCAGACCATTTTGTCAATTCTGTACTAACAAGACATACCATTTTCATATTACAAAGGCTGTAGACGTCACCTAATTATTAATATGACATAAACTGACAGAGACAAAGAAAAAGAAAAAAAAAGACTTACCAGCCTTATAAGCGATGGAATTAGAAGAAGACACAGACTTCTTGTAGCATAAAAACACACTTGATCCCCACTGAGCATGGAAAAGAATTTGAGAATAAACAAGATGAACTTGATTAGATGAAATGTTAAGGTATATAATGTGTAGATTTATAAAGCTACAGTTTGTATTCTCATCTTTCCATAAAATTATAAAAAAACTAACTAAAAGCATTGCTAGGTAGTAGCTTGGCAGTTGCTAACTGGGTTATTAATTGGCAAGCCTCATTTACATGTTTGATCAAATCCTAGCTTAAATATAGCATAAACATATGTTATTGCACTTATCTTATAGTTACTAGCGTTTTGCTAATTACTGTTAGCATATGGATAATTTGGCTAATCATGTTCTGATATAGAGATATTGCTGCTGTTAAATCAATAATAGGGTAGTCTGTTCTGTTGCTATGGAGCCAACTGCCAGGTTAGTGTGATGATACATTACAGCTTCTTGCCAATACAATATGAATGATGTAAATCAACCCTAGTGTTTCTATGGCACTGCCGCATAAATATATCAATCTGGGGCCTTTATAATGGCAGTCTAGGGATCAGATGCTAAGGTGCTCTAAATGGTTGCTAGGGCATGGCATGTCAGCTATAGAATGATTACAAGAGACTGATTGGTTGCCCGAGTCAAATTAGTCCACCCCCAAGTATTTTTTTTTTATGGGAGTTTCACTATTGCAAGTCAATGGGAAAGTTTGGGGCACTCTTGCAGCCCAGTGGTACAACTTACACCCCAGTATAATATGTTTTTTTGCACAGCTTGACAGCCTCGTCTATTGTGAAAGATCACATTTCTAAGAATATCTTATTTGGAATTATGATGCGTCAAAGTTTGGTCCCATGCTCAATGAGACTTTTCTAAATTTCTACATCAGTTTTTGAAAAAACGAGATTTAGACCAGTTGAAAAAGACATAGCAACAAACTGTTATGCAGAACACAGCTTTTGACCAGATTTGGGGCTTGCAAGTTGGTAAAGGGGGAGATAGAATTTATCTCAGAAGAGGGAATAATAATAATAATAATAATAATAATAATAATAATAATAAGTTTAAATAGTATAACAGTATGTTGGTTTTCTCAAGTCAACATAATTATCGCTTATGCTAGGTGTTTCGAATGCAGCGTCTATGGGTGAGTCAGCCAATTTGATGTTTGTCACCCTTCTGGTTGTCGTGTTCAGTCTCACACAATTTTCCTTTTAGTCAAAGTCTTGACAACACAATCTTTGAGTTTTACTTTTATTTTAAATAAGAATGTAAAAAAATTATATATATATATATATATATATTAGGGTTGGGCATCTAAGCTATAATGCCGATCCGATACGCATCTCGATACAAAGAATACGATCCGATATATTAGCGATACATTTGTGACATTGCGATGCAACACGATACGATTCACACCCATATCACGATACGATGCGATATTTCAGCACTAACTAATTAGATCAAGTTTATGAGATGATGTGAAAGAGGATGCTGTGCCATTGAATGAGTTTGATTATTTATAAACCAAGCAAAACCAAGACTTTTTTTTACAAACTGGCTCTTCTATCAGAGCCAGAGTGTCAGTTTACAGTAGAGGGCCATTTTAGAACATATAGCACATATTATTTAAGTATTTTCAAGATAAACAGAATGTATAAGTGCAATATATATTAAAAAATATGTATATATTTGCACTCTTTCAACATAAATAAATTTAGCATTGCACAACAAGAATTGTGATTTAACTTTTCAACTATGAAAACAAGTTTTACAAAAATATATTTTGCCACTGATTATTCAAAACTTAAGGTTGTGAACTAGCAGTGTTATGCTGCTTTGAAACATCACTGTCACTGTAAACAACAGGCTAATATAAATATAACAAACCAGCAATCTTCTTGCTGTGAGGTGGTCAAACTACCCACTGTGCCACCGTGACACCCAATTATTTTTATCATTATTATTATTAATATTATTATTATTATTATAATTAAATAAAAATTAACAGGAGGAGGTGTTTAAAACCTTCGTTCTCCGTGACACTAGGCTGAATATCTTTGCAGATGAACAATGCAATAGCATTCGTTATTGGCGTAGAGCGAGCAGAACTGTTGCGCACGGAAAAAAAAAACTTGCAATGCTTTTCTCACCACTTTTGGAACTGGTTGAAGCAGTGCGAAAGCCGGGGATGCAGAAACACTGGAAGATGCTTTCACAACAACACCGTGGTGCCGCTTCAAGTGAGATATCAGATTAGTCGTACTGCCCGCGTATTTTACAGATGCGCGGCACATTTCGCAAATTGCATCTGTCCTGTCATGTCGTCCATCCTTAAATCCATAATGTTGCTTGCCATACTTTAGATTTAAAACTCAGTGGGGAATATGTTTGTTTTGCTTCTCGCGCTTTCTGAGGGCGCACCACTAGCTTCATCCACACCTGATACACTGAGTTGTAGTGTGAGTGTACACATCCGCAAATCCGTTGCTAAGGCTTACTTTATGTAGGTCGATTAAATTATGCGCCAAAAACAGGTTGACAACACTTGTTAATAAATAAAAAATACATTCTATATTAAAAATATAAGCTGTATCTCGGAAAAATCGATGCATCTCGCAAAAACCGATGCATCTCGATTTGCTTCCAAAATTTCATTCATCCTCTGCTGCTCAACCGATGCACTCGCATCGTGCACGCGCATGACCGCGTATCGATGCATATCGGTTAATCTTCCCATCCCTAATATATATATATATATATATATATATATATATATATATATATATATATATATATATATATATATATATTTGTTGTACTTTTACATTCACTGTGCTCTAAATTTTCCCAACTTAGATGACTTCAGCTGAGAAACTCTAAATATGTGAAAAGAGTCAATACAGTGAGAAGCATAGTATAGCTTGTTCAGACAACAGCTGAACAGCCAACAACACTGAAGGAACCAATAAGATTTAAAGCTACCATTGAGTCAACAGACTGAGTGGCACTTTAACTCCAGGTGTAAATCTGTGAACTATACAGTATATTAAGGTATCCTCTCAATGATATAAAAAAAAAAACAATTAAGTGCTAAACGATCAACCAGAGCATCTTAAAGAGATAATTCATTTCAAAAATTTTAATTCTGCTAACACATTCCATTTCTCAATCCTGAACAAGACTCATTTGTACATGTTCATTAAAAAAATAAATAAAAAAAATAAAAAAAATAAAAAAACCTAGCACCAATATTATATGAATCATCAAGAACTAGGGATTCATCTCAAAATCTTCTTTAATGTTCTGACCTGTGGCTGAGTAAATTAACAGAAAATTTTTGGGTGAACTACCCCATAAGAACAGGTTTGGATTACAGTGGGTTAATTTACTGTTATTACTGTAGTATTAGGGAATAAAATTGTACAAATACCATAAAATAAGGTCTGGCAAATTAACTAAAGCGTTAAGCCACATCACGCCTTTTCCATGTTAACAGGGTTCCCATTCTAAGCCAAATATTAAATTCCCAGACTCTTCTCTCATTTTCAATGACTAAACAGCTGAATTTCCATGACCTAAAATAAATGGAAAACGGAAGCCGCTGTTGTGTTTTGCATGAGATTGAAATGGTTTACACTTGAATGTCATGTCGGATGATTTTAACAGCCACTATGAGAACAACAATGGATATTTTACCTTGGATAAAAAAAAAAAATAGGTGTTATTGTTTGCAAGGCTGTGAAATGTACTTCCTCATCCACATTTAAAATCTTGATCATAACTTTTCTCTTTTCTACTTTAAGACCATCTTTGATGTGATCATTTTTCAGGAATCAAGCTAATTTATACTATTCTGTTAACAGGCCTGTTAACAGGTACAGTGTGGTGACTGCCATTTAAAGTAATAAAATTGAGCTGAAAAAAAGACTAACCATAACAATAAGCATGAAACGTGAAATGAAGTGTGATATATATAGTATAGAATAATAACGTTTTGATAAACAAAACCTCTGCTATTGTCCAGATAAACAAAAATCCTTGACTTAAATTTAAAGAGCCCATATTATGGTTTTTTGAAAATTCCCCTCCATGTAGTGTGTAACACAGCCCTAAGTGAAGTGAAGTATCCAGCTAAGGCTTAAATCTGTAAGAGTACATTGTTTAAAACGGTTGATTCATCTATAAAAGAGTCGACTCATAGTGCTTCAAACGAGTCGCCTTGATACCGAGTCATTAGGTGTTTCGCCATGACGTACGAACGAAAGCAAGTTATTCACGTGCACGCGCAAACCCGGGAGATTTCAAACCTAAGGCCCCGCCCTCTGATGCAGTAACGCAGACACACACACACCCACAAACACACGCACACAAACATGCCGGTCGATTGAAGTCACACTGCAGATGGATATTATCGAGCCTCTACCCAAAGATGAAACCTCAGCATTATAACCAAACAATTAGAAACTACTAGAAACTTCTGCAAGCTACATGCTACAAAGAATACTTCATCGGTGTTTGTTAAAGGAAGGATCAGTAAAGAGTAACTTACTGATGGACGTCAGGATGGGTTTCTTCCTCCATTTCTCAAGTGTAAGTACGTGCGATTAAAGTCGTTGACTCTAGCTTGCAAATGTATTTAGTTGTGATTTATTACTTGTAACCGTGTGTACTGTATCAGGTTAACTGGCTATATTCTCTTATCGTGTGCAAAGTCACACGACGCGTGCTGCTTTGTTTATGGAGCTCCGTGGACGAGGGTAGTGTGTGTGTGCGGGCGCGCGTTCTCGCCCGGATGTCTGTGTGTGTTTTTGTGTTTGTGTGCGCGGACGATGGCAATGTGTGTGTGTGTGTGTGTGTGTTTGTGTCTGTGAAAAGAGCAGAGTGAGACAAGCTTGGATATCTCCTCGAAAGTTTTTGGAGTTTTTGCTCAATAAAATAGTTAATCGCCTGAATTTTCAAGTCCATCGTCTGTATTTACATTGACCCACTGGCAGCTAAAATCTACGCCTACACTATCAAGCGTGTATGAACTGTGATTACTTTTATATTGCTGATTAGCTGTTGTGCATTTTACTCTCTGACTGAAGGCAGTCGACCAATCGCAACAGGCTGTCATTGGTCCAATCAGTGCAGATTAGTTTCGCGCTAAGGAGGGGTTTGGGAACAAATGAATCACTGGACGATTCATACGGGAGTCGCTGGGATAATTAGGTAAAAATAAATGCAGATTATAAGACCATGAACGTGTTTTTTGACCTTGCATGCATATTAGACTGTTGTTGAAGACCCTTACAACCAAGATATGACCCTATTTCATGTATAATATGGGCTCTTTAAACTATATAAACACACACACACACACACACACACACACACACACACACAACTTAAAAAGTTTTTAAAAGCGTTAAAATAAGCTTCTCTTGCTCGCCAAGGCTGCATTTACTTTATCAAAAACACAGTACAAATTGTAAAATGTTATTGCACTATAAAATAACTGTTCAGAAGTAGTTTATAATTTAACCTAATCATTTATTTCAGTGATTTTAAAGATTAATTTTCAGCTTTATTACTCCAGTCTTCAGAGTTACATGATCCTTCAGAAACCACTCTAATAATAATAATAATAATAATAATTATTATAATTATTATTATTATTATTGGGGCTATGCTGCGTAAGAAAGAGCATCCGCTGCGTAAAACATAAGCTTGGATAAGTTGGCGGTTCATTCTACTGTGGCAACCCCAGATTAATAAAGGCACTAAGCCGAAAAGAAAATGAATGAATTAATAATTGAGGCTGCATGGTGGCGCAGTGGGTAGCACGATCGCCTTACAGCAAGAAGGTCGCTGGGTTAAGCCTCAGCTGGGTCAGCTGGCGTTTCTGTGTGGAGTTTGTATGTTCTCCCCGTGTTCGTGTGGGTTTTCTCCAGTTTCCCCCACAGTCCAAAGACATGTGCTGTAGCTCAATTGTCCGTAGTGTATGTGTGTGAATGAGTGTGTATGTATGTTTCCCAGTAATGGGTTGCAGTTGGAAGGGCATCTGCTGTGTAAAACATATGCTGGATAAGTTGGCGGTTTATTCCGCTGTGGCGACCACTGATTAATAAAGGGACTAAGCCAAAAAGAAATAGAATTAATGAATCATTATTATTAATAATATTATTATAAATGGCAGGAGCAATAAAAGCAATAATGACTAGAGTAATAATTTCATTTGAAAATTCATACGATAAAAAAGCAGTTATTTAAAATTGTAATAAATATTTAACAATTTATTACATTTAATAAATGGTGCCTTAGTGAACAGAATAATTTTCTTAAAAAAAAAAAACATGAAAAAAAAAGACCCCAAACATTTGACAGGTAGTGTATATATTCTTAAGCTGAAATAGTAGCAGAAAGAAACAGACTACTATCACTGACAGACTGCCTAACAATGCATCTCTTAATTCACAATAGCAGTTCAAAAATTATTATATAGGTAGCTGATGCTGAGCTAAGAATTTGCAGATTTACGCACAAACGCAGCATTTTTCTTTGTCAATATATTAACCTCACTCATTGAACTCACCATGCCACAGTTAAGGTTCTTGTCTACCTTGCAGAAGGTATGAGGAGGAGTCTCGCCCTTGTTTGTGATAATGACGCAGATGTCGGTCACAGCCAGTGAGTTCTGGGGTTGGACAGGAGGCGCTCGGCGGTAAGTGATGAATATGCGCTGGGATGTGGCAGAGCTGTTATTGACATTTGCACAGCGGCCAAACGGTGTGGCCTCTATGACCTCACAACCCTGAATGAGGCGCTCCTTACCTTCATACAGGACCCTACCAAAAAAAGCAAACTTTATTCAGCAATTAACACAAACAATTAAAAAGAAACAGAAAATAAAATTTGCTTTTCTGATTGAACTTTTCTGTTGCTGTTGTTTTTTTTAAAGCCACTTTACTGAATAGAAACACGCAACAACGAAATATGTCAATGACACTAAACCCTGCATTTCAGTAGACACTGAGATCCTTTTTATGAGTGATCCACTAGCAAACAATCTTGAAATGCCAGCAAGAAAAGCTTTCTTGCATAACAAGATTTCCAAGTTGTCTTTTCTGAAAACACAAATGTGCTGTGGGTATTGATGGGTGTTTGCATGCAAAGACATGAAGTAGAGAGAGAATGGAGAAGCTCATAAAACAGGGAGAGAACAGAACAGGGAGGGAATTGTATTTATTATTATTTTTTAATCAGAATCAATAATCCATCTTAGAAATGTTAAGTGGAATGTTATCATAATATTTTGAAATATGTGTTTCACACCTGGCAAAACAAAGTACAACATTTTATGATTACACAACGACTACCAATTTAAAATTAAGGTAATTTAATAAAGTTTTAGCTATTGGCATTGCTTCACTACTTTACATCAGCAATAATTAATTTCAGGGAAAAAAAAAAAAAAAATATATATATATATATATATATATATATATATATAAATATATATATATATATATATATATATATATATATATATATATATATATATATATATATATATATATATATAATCAATCACTTAGGGAGAAAAATATGACGGTCTGCTAAGTGTTTTATGGGCCAATAAGATCATTCGAAGATGATCAGCCCAGCCCAAAAAGTAAGTCGACCCAGTGGGAAACTGCCCGGTCTGCCCCAAATTAATCGCATGCGTTAACGCAATAATTTTGACAGCACTAATATATATATATATATATATTAGGGATGTAACGGTATTGTAAATACCGTCATACCGCAATATTAATTTTTTTCGATATTACCGAAGTCGCATGACTCGGTAAAACTATAGGTCTTCTGAGAAAATTTGCTCAGGCGAATGAAGCGAACGGGAGGTAACGAAAACTACAATTGCCATCAGCCCATGCTTGACCATCATCCCTTGCGGTCTGTTGTTGCTACAGATCCAGTAATGCAGAAATGGAGTGTGCTGCTAGAGCGGGGATGAAAAGAGCTGGAAAACTCTAAAGCAGGTCGCACACCAGAAGCGCCACTCGGCGCCGCAACACGGCGCGTACATGACAGATTAAAGTATCGCACACCAGACGCGCACATTCGAATGATATTTAACATGAAACTAATCAGATGGCGCTCTGTGGCGCGGCTGAAAAATGAACTGCGTCCTGAGCCGTCGCCGGGCGCCGCCGACAGCCGCCGACTTGCGGCGCCGGTGTGTGTATCCTGATAGAAACCTATGATTAGAATTCTAAAATACATGGCGCTGCGCGGCGCGCCGCCGAGCGTCGCTTCTGGTGTGCGACCTGCTTTACACGCACAGTTCAGTCCTGCATTATCTCCGTGTAAGTTCAGACTTCGCAAGTTTGATCAAGGCTGCAGTCTCTTCTTCTCAGTTTGATATGGAAAAGCAGATTATACCGAGGACACGGGTAAATCTTCAAAGGGAACCATGTACTTTATAACTTCATTCACATCACCCTGGCTTCGTTGTTTCACTTTCTCAACAATAAAATGTAAACATGATTTAAGGAACTGCCTATTTTCATTTTAATATTAGCAACTTAGACAGCAGAAATGTTGAGGCGTCGTGCTGCATATATGAGCGTCATCTTCACTGTGTGCATATTTATAACAAAACGGAGCCGATAACAACTGCCTCCTTTCAATTTCAGTGAAAATACGAAACACACCCTCTCTTTTGCTGAGTATCAGTTTTAAGAATCGATAATGGCCATTTTAAAAGTATAACATACAATAAGTTTATACATTATAGGAAATAAAGGCAAGCGATCAGTCAATATACAGAATGTACGTGGTTACATTAATCATTAACTTATCTTTGCGCTCAGCCAAAACACGTTACCTGAGAACAAGTAATAGATTCCAATGCCCAAAGTCAGGGAATATGTCGTTAGATAAAGACAACAAGATAAATGAAATATCCCGTTTAATAAATATAGTGAGATTAGATCCAGCGGGAGATGCTTGATGAGAAGTCCGACTAGCAGAGCTCTCATCTGGGTAGATGGGCTGAGTGTGATTAAATGTTGAATGTGATGAGTTTTCAACAATACTAAATTGAAACTTTATTTTTTTACATGGTTTAATAGTTTTTTGTTATTAAAATTGAAGTTCCTGTTTCAAAGCTTACAGATAGATGGCTAATTTGTATGTCATTGACACTTTTGGCACTTTTTTGGAGTATTTTCATAAGTTTTGTTTTTTCCTGTAAATGATTCAATAAATACCGTACCGTGACATTCATACCGAGGTATTACCGTACCGTGAAATTCTGATACCGTTACATCCCTAATATATATATATATATATATATATATATATATATATATATATATATATATATATATAATTTTTTTTCCTAAAATTAATTATTGCTGATGTAAAGTAGTGAAGCAATGCCCATAGCTAAAACATTATTAAATCTCAGGAGCTAGGCAACATGGCGCCACTTACTCATGCAATGCTGTTATGTGTGAATAATAAAATAATTATTTTGTCAACTCTTTATTCAGCTTGACTTATAAATGACAAAGTTAATCTGTAAAATAGCAAGCAACCCGATTGTATTTCTGAGGGAGTGTGCCACTGACAAATATGTTTTTCTTGTAAAATATACATTTACTTTAATTAGTTTTAGTTTAGTTTATTTCTTAACAGGGTCAATGCACATTAAACAAAAATAATTAGCCAAGAATGTCTATGTGTCATCTGCAGACACTTGACCGAATGTTTACAAGTCACACCTATAAATAGAAAAAAAGCATCATAACACAAAATACTATCATATATATAAAATATGCAAACACAAATAACAAGACAAACAAGGGGTATGGGTTAAATGTTAAAATGAAAGTAAGTCCTTTCAATAGGTTACATGTTAAACATAATGATGATGATATAGTATTCTCTCTACATCATACTTTTGCCAAAAATTTTTTCTAAAAATAAGACATTGCAGAAATGCATAAATACGAGCACAAAGCAAAGCTAGTCACTTTCTTTCTGTCTGAGAACATAATTTAAATCCATTAGCTTATGTGTTTACAAGACTTAAAAACAGTACAAATCAGCCACCTTTAGCAACCCCAGTATCTTCTTACCTCTGTAGTTGAAAAATGTTTTTGCACATGGCACACAAAATTATCTATGTAATAAGATGAAAGAGTTAAGGAGAAGCATAGATGAATCTGTGAGTTGCGAGTTTTACCCCAGGCAGAGAAGAGACTGGCTGTGCAATTGTAATTCAATTTTAACCAATATTATCAAGTAAATTATATTCAAGTACACAGACATTTCTTAGACGTTTCCAAGTTTTGCATGACTGAAAGAAAGCCTAAGTTAAGCCTAACTATTGAACTACACTTTTTACCGCATGAACTTTATTCCACGGTTTAGCTGAAACTTTGCAAAATCAAATGCATCGATAAGAAAACACTTTATTTAATTTACTTTGGATTAAAACATCTACTGTGAAAGATTGAAAATAATTTAAACCTAAAATAATAAGCCAAGTTCATATCCAGAAGATCAGATGAAGCCATGTTAATTTAAACTGTAATCTTTTACTGTACTGCAAAACAAGCTATTGAAGCACACAGTTATGCAGAGATATTCTTTCTCAGTAGATTCCGCTGAGCCTAAATGAAATATGCAGTACAGCTTTAAAAGCTTTATACACACTAAGTGCCATAAAAAGCTTTACTAATAAGTGTACATTACATCATCTTGATATTTAATAATGTGGTGTGGCAAGCAAAGACCAAATGCAATGGGTGTGGTACTACATATATGACAAAACACATATTAAAACGGGGTTATAATGATAGATTAAAAAGGTGTCCTTGCTGTGCTTTGGCCAGAGCGAGGGTGAGTCAACACATAGAAGAAAAGGCTGCCCTAGTGGTAGCAACACAGCAGGCTATATCCATAAAAGAGTGGAGGCCTTGAGCTGAACTATAAAACTCATAGTCAGCTGGTGCTGAATGTATGCCACAAATAGATTTTAAAATGCTTGTGTCCCAGTTCAGAAATGCAAACTTAAATTCTGATTATGACAGGGACCAAAGTGAGAGAAATGTTGTATCTATGTATATGCAAAATGTGATTTCAACACACAAATAAATGGTGCAGCTATTTTAACAGGAATGACATCACTGTAATCTTTATGTGCAAATTTAAACAATTAAAAAATGCAGTTTAAGTCATAAAATGAACGAGAAAATTATTAAACAATTGTTTTACTGACTGTATTTAAAGGATTTACGGGCCCATGAGGTTTAAATGTAAAAGACAATTGGACAATTCTCATTTTGAATGAAATTTTGCAGAATCTGTGAATCACGGTTTGTTGCATATCAATCAATTCGAAACAATGTTTACATAAACTCAGTCATGATGTGATGTGTAGACCTACAGTCTTCCGACCATTAGAATTTGCACCGTGTTTTAAAACAATCCTTAAGAAAATCATTCTCTCTCATGCTAAATTAAAAAAAATAAAAAAATCTCTTCAACTTCTGATGTGAAGTTTGACTGCAAATTTAGTTTTGTCCAAAAACATGCATCTTGTTTTTTTGCCTAATGTCAACTTTAAAGGGCACCTACAGTAGGTTACCCCGTTTTTCAGATTCAAGATGAGTATTTTGTGTCTCCAGAATGTGTCTGTAAAATGTCACTCAAAACAACAAATTAGATTTTTTATCATACCTTTTATAAGATTCTATCTTAAACCGTTTTGCACCAGGTGGCGGTTTTGTTGTACTGTGCTTTTATGGCTAGTCCTCCCCGCCCACCATTTCAACGTGCCTTTCTTGGTGCCTTAATCGCCTTCCTCAGACAACAGACAGACTTAATGGAAACAGATCTCAAGTAGCGTTTGTGAAAAATACAACAGTAAGAACTTTACCAATGAGTATTTGTTGTAGAGTTGCTACGAAGAGTCACACACAATGTCGTTACAAAGTTCACGCACACACACAAATATATACACACATACACAGCGCAGACGCAGACAGACATACAGACAGTGTTTAGCTTTGCACTCGTTTTGCACGCAAATGTGACAAGATACAGGTTAATCTCCACTGCTGTATGAATATTTGTTATGTTAATGGAAAATAAACCTGATTTAACGTCCACAAATCGCGATTGAAGCGTCTTCTTTTATAATTGTACTAACACGCAGCTGTGGTCCAGATTTTTTATGACCGTATGAACCCTGACTTAACCAATAGGCTATTGACGCCAACTTTTGTGTTGTTTTTATTATGCAAGTAAATGGCAAGTTAATAATTACCTTTTTGAAAATACTCTTCAATCTAAACCATCCTGCAGTACAACATTAAAGATTGAAAATTTTGAGTCAAGACTTTTGAGGGCCTTAATTGAAACAGATCATGCAGACAACTTCAATGTTTTTGAGAGGGACGGAGATCTAGTGTTGTATCTACAGGGAAAGTGAGCTGTAAAAAACACACATCATATTTCACTAACTAAAAAGCATCTATTCCAGGGTACCTCTACACAGTGAAACAGCCATTCACCATACAAACTCACCCAATGTCAATGAGCGGGGGCTTCCCTCGACCCCTCTTGTAACATAGGAAGAGTTCTGGGCTCTTGAGGCTGCCATGGTTGAGATTGGCCGGCTGGCCGCTGTAGGTGCTCTCGATGCATGTGAAACCTTCAGGCACAGTTTCTCCAGAAGACTTGTTGATGACAGCAAGGTCTGTGATTGGTGCCTTGGGCCCACTGGACTTGGCTTCAGATATATCCTGCTCTAGTGGTGTAGACTTGTCTGTCAGGCCAGCCACAACGAAGTAGTCCGTCACGCGGTGACCCTTATCCTCAATCATGGCTGGACAGACCTGTTCGGAGAGAAGATACTATTAAGTTGACATGCTTGTAGGTCTTGGGACTTAGCAACCACCACCACCACAAAAAAAATAAAAATGTAAACAGTATTAAACAGTCCATCAATGCAGTTGTACATTAGGTCAATAATACAATTTTCATAACATTAAACAAATATATATAGAGCTTGAGAGGTACTGCAAAGAGGAAAGGGCAAACATTCCCAAAGACAGGTGTCCCAAGCTTGTGGCATCATATTCAAAAAGACTTGAGGCTGTAATTGCTGCCAAACATGCATCAACAAAGTATTGAGCAAAGGCTGTGAATACTGATTTAGATGCGTATTTGTTTTTTGTTTTTTTTACAAATTCAAAAACTCTTTTTTCACATTGTCATTATAGGGTCTCATGTGTAGAATTTTGAGGAAATAAATGATTTTAATAAATTTTGAAATAAGGCTGTAACATAAAAAAATGTGGAAAAAGTGAAGCGCTATGAATACTTTGGATGCACTGTACAGTAGCAATCATAATTTTTAACCCCCTTACATTTACATTTAGCAGATGCTTTTATTCAAAGCGACTTACAAATGAGGACTGAATAGCAGATTAGGAAGGAAAATGGAGACTTTCATAGTATGTATTCACAGTATGTTTGATAATATTTTTTCTTCGGGAGAAATGTTATTTGTTTTTTTGGGGGGGGGGGGTTGGTTGGGCAAAAATAAAAGCAGTTTTTAATTTGTAAAAAATATTTTAAGGTAGGAAAAAAAAATATATATATATATACAAATACTTGTGCTTTCAAAACTGATTCTTGAAATCACAATTAGATTAAAAATTGATACATGATTTTGAATTAAAATTTCTGTTCAAAGATGTGTTCAGAGTTGATTCCAGAATGCTGTTTAGTGTGCAGAAGGAAATAAACTGGTTGGTCGAAGCACAGCACCAAGAGATGTTTAACACATCCCTGTGCATGAACACAACTGAGGTATAAAGACTTTATTAATATTTGGAGTGCACTGCATTTTGCATGATAATTTAGCTACTTTTTTATTTTTCACCACTAAACACCTGTAAATTATCGGCATGGTATGTCAAGGCAAATTGGGACCAGAAAACTACAAGGATTTGGTGTAAGTTTGACTTCTTAAGGGCAGTGGATGCACTCTCTAACCTGGAAGAAACTCTGGAATCACTTCCTCTTTTGTGCAGTAGTTGCCCTATGTGCTTTTTTGCATGGCTTTTTCAGCCATCGATAAACTTTCATAGAAAGATGGATGTGAGTATTTAATTTTCCATTTACAGCATCAATTATGTAATTTAAACATATATAGTAAAATATATTTGAGGAGTCATTTAGGTGCCCCAGTGTTAATTAGATAAAAGGGTGTATAAACATATGCAGTGAGTGCAGAAACTGCATTGAAAATACTGTGGTAAAATAAAATTTAAAGACATGACATGGAACAATGGGATTTAATGCAGTGCTTCAATGTTTGTTTTAAACCCACTTTATACATTGCATATCAATCAGAAAGTGAAGATCATTGATTTTAAACAAACCAGATCTTAATGTGGTGAGTTATTAATGGCATGACATTTATTGCAAAACCCAAACAACCTGAATGCATGGGGCAAAGACGAGGATCCATCCTGCCATCTATGTGGACATTTTAACAAGATTACCCAAGGTTTACGGAGAAAGTTGCTACAGATGGAGACACACTAAATCCTCATTGAAACGGCCAAATGAATGGGCATACAGAGGGTTAAAGTAAATAGACATAAGAAAAAAACTGTTTTCAGAAGCAAGAGGAAATTTTTCCCCATGTTAAGCAGAACTGGTAATACTTTGCTCTCTAGTATTTTGTATGAAGCATCTGACTGGGATTAAAAATTCTGATTTTATTTGTCACATACAGAGTATGATATGCAGTGAAATGTATAGAGAACCACTCGTGACCTTAAAATAATTACAACAATAAGAAACTAAATTCTAAAAAATAGAAGTTTTATGCAATAGAAAGTAAAAGCAAATTTAAATTTAAAGACTTGTAATATAGGGTGCTTTCACACTTGGTTTAATTGCCTGGACAGTACCCAAGTTTTATTGTCACCGCTTGCCACCTTCTCAGTAGAGTTGTGAACCTATACTGGTCTCATGGTTTGGTTCGGTTACGATTATCATGCCTTCGATTCAGTTCAATTCGATATCTCGGTGCATCGACGATGCTTTCCATAAACAGTGTTATATTTTAGGGGGGAGGCTATAACAAGCTGTCTGTATAAACACACAGAGACACAGCACCACACTGTCTCTCATTCAATCACATACACAAACATAGACAGCACCAAACAAACAAACAAACAAACACACAAACAAACAAACACACAAACACACAAACACACACACACACTTAAGCCCACGCAACAGGAAGAGCTTGCGCTGAGTGGAGCAAAAAACACGAAAAAAAGAAGCACTTTTCCGACGGTCTCTTACTGAGATCTGCTCTCAGCGCGAGCTCTCCCGGCTAAACACATATTGCGAGGGCTTAAACGAAGCAGTGGTCGTAATGTCGAGCGAAAAAAAAGAAAGACAGCTGTGAAACATAACCAGCTTTGTCTTTTTGTAGGAAACACACTTTAGATCTTTTTAGGGTTTTTGAGTTATTGCCGTCTATAACTGAATGTGTGTCAGGAATATCGAAAACAAAACCAACTGAACCGCGCTCATTTCTGGCGCCCCCCTGGATACACAGCGCCTGTAGCATTTGCCTATGTAGCCTATGCCACAGGCCGACCCCGAGTTGGCTGTGTTGTAAATACTTGCTCCCGCCTCCCTCACGACAGAGCGCATAGGAGATAAATGACGTCAGTACATAATAACCGGTTATGAGTATTACTGAACCGATACCGAATTGTCCGCTTCTGCATCGCAGTGCACTGAAGAAAGATTTAATTTTGACACCCCTACTTCTCAGTTGGTTTTTCCTTCGGTTGGGGTTTCTCTATCTTTTTTCCATCTGAATCCCGGTATGCTTGCATCAGAAAGCGACTCCTGTCTATCTGCCGCAAAACTATTATAAACGTTCAGAACATCACGCAATGTCTGCAGAAGCTGTTTTTGGGGAAGACAAGCAGACATTATCACTGTGCCTGCCCTGTCTCATTCCCCCTTTTCAGCAAGGTACAGTACATGATACATAGACACACACACACAGACGAACATGCAAATTAATGTTATGAAAATGATAGTTTGTTGTACTGTTGATGGTGACCAGAGTTCGCATGAACTGTACCCCAGACAGCCTTTTAGTCAGACTTGGTTGTTTCAGTCGGGTACGGTTCTTTGTTGTGGACCCAAGTTCAGAAGATACGTTCACACTAGCTGAACATACCAAACTCTGATGTCAAAACAACCTGGGTATGGACCAAAAGTGCTGGTGTGAAATTGAGTAAGTGTTTGTAGAAAAAAAGTAGAAAGTATAACAATAAAAAAAGACCATATGTGCAAACAAAAACATGTAAGTGTTTCTAACAAAGTTCCTGGTGCATCAGAAAGGGAAGAAGTGTATCCGATTTGCAAGCTGTCCTCAAAAAAAGCTTGTCTTTCCAGAACCAGATTTGATTGTTCTGTCCAGGAGCACAAGAAAGGAGTGGTGTTGACTCTCCCCTACAGGCTAGCCATCGCTCAAAAGTTAAAGAAGGCTTAGTATCAAGACGCTTCTATTTAATATTGAAAATGAATGAAGCTTTGTTTCTTGCTAAAGTCGCACACATAGTTGCTCTTGTGGAAATGCATCACTGATGGTAATTTCACCTTATTCATTCCTCTAAAAATATTTTAAAACCTGTCAACATTGCCTATTCCTAACTTAAATATATTTTAGATTGTGTAAAGGACAATTTACTACTACAAACATTTAAATTTTGTTTAATTTATTTGACAATTAATTTAACTTTATTGGTGAATTCATATTTTGTTTGGGTAACACTTTACAATACGATTGTCGTAGTTAATAGCTAATAATAGTTCATGTATTTACTTGCATGGAAAAACAATGAACAATACATTTATTACAGCATATATTTATCCGTGTTAATGAAAAATAAAGTTGTGTATTGTTAGTTAACTCACAATGCATCAACAAGCATGAATTTGGAATTTAATAATGCATTAAAGGGTGACGTAGTGGAGCAGTAGGTAGTCCTGTCGCCTTACAGCAAAAAGGTCGCTGGGTCGATCGTCAGGTCAGTTGCCGTTTCTGTGTGGAGTTTGCATGTTCTCCCAGTGTTTGCGTGGGTTTCCTCCGGGTGCTACTGTTTCCCCCACAGTCCAAAGACATGTGATACAGGTGAATTGGGTATAGGCTAAATTGTGCGTAGTGTATAAGTGTGTGTGAGAATGTGTGTGTGGATCTCCCCCAGAGATGGGTTGCGGCTGGAAGGGCATCCACTGCGTGAAAATGTGCTGGATAAATTGGCGGTTCATTCCGCTGAGGTGACCCCAGATTATTAAGGGACTAAGCCAACAAGAAAATGAATGAATGAATGAATAAATGAATAATGCATTACATTGTTGAACTTTGAATAATAAAGCTGTGCAAGTACTGTGGAGACACAGTGGCTCAGTGGTTAGCGATGACGCCCCACAGCAAGAATGTTGCTGGTTAAAATCCCAGCTGGGCCAGTTGCCGTTTCCAGTTTGCATCTTCTCCTTGTGTTCAAGTGAGTTTCCTCTTGGTGCTCTAGTTTCCCCCACAGTCCAAAGACATGCGCTATAGGGGAATTGAATTGAACTATATTGGTCGTAGAGTGTGAATTAGGGTATATATGGATGTTTCCCAGTACCAGGTTGTGGCTGGAAGGGCATCCGCTCCGCAGGAATCAACGCTAAGGATTTTTTTTACCGCCCTGATCTGGCCAGTGGTTTAGATTTTTACTTGCCCTGCCAAAATTTTCACTGGAACCACCAAACAAAAGATGTTAATAGCTGTTTCTTAGCCATA